CAGGCTTAAGCAGCAATGGTGAGCGCTCTTAGCAAAAATTTATAATCTGCACCAAAATTTTTTTTATCGTTCTAAACAGATGGATTATTAAACCGAAACCAATTTCCCATCGACAATACAAAAAAAACCAGAATCTCCCTATCATGCGATAGATTAAAAATCTCTACTTGGGCCTAATTTAATTAAGCCAAGAAATAGTTAGTAACTAGCATACTATTTCCAATTACTCTCGCTTCAATCTACTCTAGCTTATTACTCTAGCTTTTGGTATGATGCAGCAATTTTTTTTGCCTCTCATTGCCTCATTATCTTTGATAAACTTACTCGAGCACAGCCAGAGGGAGAACTATGATTCCTTTTTTTCATGAATCCACACCATTTATAGTTAACTCGCTTCGCTGGCTAGCTACATTGAACGAAGATTCCAAGTAGTTCATTAAGGATGGAAGTTGACTTAAATAGCCAGCATCATCGAATTTTTCAAAAGTTTATCACAACGAGGTATAGGACTTCAGCACAGGCGCGCTTAAACTGTTAAAGATCACTGATGCAGCGACATGAGGATTAATCTAGGGGCAAAATTATGCAAGCCTCATTTCTTTTCGAGATCACAATAATTTAAACCCTATGCAAATACACATCTGAAATACACATCTGATTCGATGAAACTTTCGACGAGGATTTCCTGGGAATGCACCACTTATTACCAATTCCAACTCAAGTTTAGTGAATCCTAGATTTTTAATTTCTAAGTGCATAATGTAATAAATTTTGTTTGAATATTGAACGACCGAAATTGTAATCTGTGGAACGATCTCTCGACTTTAAAAATCCTTAAAAATATTTTTAAAAAATATGTAAATATATCAATGTGTATAAAAATATGTACAGAATCTGAACAAAAGAATATATAACAGAAAAATTTCACCAGCACTGATAAAATTAAGCGAAATTTGCAGAAAAATTCGCAATTCCGAAATAAAAATTCTCGTTCGAACGGGTAAAACTCAAAGTGGAATTAGTACAAATCACAATCTGCTGCAAACATTTACTTATTTAAATAAAAGCACGACCGATCAAAACTATCTCCATTACCCTCTTCATTCATTATACTCATTTTTCACATTGTCGCATACCCTTGTATTTTCGTCATACGTTGCATTTCCACAATCTTTCCTCATCAAACATCCACAATTCGTCTTTCTTCCGCTTCAACAATTCGTCTTTCGTTTCTTTGCTAATATTTCACCATAAACTATCATATTTCATTTTACAATATTCCGTTTCCTCCTCCTCCCAATCCCCTACCTTCCTTTCCTTCTTCGATTATCTCTCATAAATAAACCTCTTCCTCACCTCCTCACCTCTTTCTATTGCTAAATCGTATTTTCTCTACATGCTTTCCCAATATAAAAAAATTAATCGAATAACGTCAGACAATTTATCAGGTTTATTGCCAAATGTAAGAAAACATTAAACGCAATTAATTGATAGCACTACTGATTGCACTATAAACTCCAACTCAATGGTTCTTCCTCTCGAAAAAACTAAATTCTGAAAAGAATAGCAGCCTTCACGAGATTCTAAAAGGTAAAGTTCCCTTTTTTCATGTACGTGAGACGTCCGCATCATCCGTACTTTTTATGATAGAGTCCGTCGGCGACAAAAATCCAGCCTTTGTCTTTTAACACAAAAACCTGAACCACTACCAACTTCTACAGATTAGAAGGTCACGAATATTCTCATGCAAATCTACATCTTTCCACTAAATATTACCCCAACTTTTTCTTAGAGAAAAATCACCTACTGGATGCAACGAAAAAAAAATAACCGAATTTAAGAAAATCTCTCCATCAATGAATTATTTGCTTAACCATAAGACGTCAAACAAATCGTGTGCAACATTAATCATGCGTAAAATACTTTCGCAATTTAACCATTAATAATGAAATTTTCACATAATTTCACCAACATCAAAACTAACTAAACTAATTTTTAATTTAAAGATAAATTAAAATATTTCTACATTGCACAGTTCGTCTATTGTTCTCACTTGATACTTCAACAGTGCTAAACAGTGCAAATTAAATCAATAACTAACAAGTAAATTTTATGATTTAAAAATTCTATGGGGAACAATTTATAAAATATAGAAACATACGTGAAAAATAGAAATTAGGTGAAATTCCAGCAAATGAATCGAAATACGAAAACCAAAAATATAAAAAAAAACTTTCTATGTATGAAATGAAACATCCTTAATGAATAAGCTATTATTTGTTTGATTGAGATTTTTTAAATGATATGAATGTATCCCCATATATTCTAATGAGACGGCGACAGTGAACAACTGAACGACTGGAAACAAATCAATTTGCAAATTAATATTTGGATCACAGAAATTCAATATTCGTTACATTAAATAGTGCAATCAACTTCAAAAAATCTGCATCCACCTTCTCTCCTCTTCCTCTTCCGCACTCCCAACACAATTCACTGCCGCAAAATATGACTGATGTTCCTGCTTACTGTAATCACGCGTACAATCCATGCGAATGCAATCTTATACGATTGCTGATATCGCATATATCGATGATAGAGTGATAAAAAGTCTACACACCTTAGGCCACGTTCTTCTTTGCCTACATCAGAAACGCATCTCTCGCCATCACAACCTCACAGATGCAGCCAAGACCTACTCTAACATGGTTCGGCAGAAAATATTTTGAACAGATGCGCTGCAATGCGATATAGGGACTTTGGTAACGAAAACAGGAGAAATTTCAGTCAATTTCAGGTACGACACCTGATCGAGACACTTGGAAACCTATTCGCCTATGGAGCCAAATATCTCAGAAATGATGTGAGCACTTAGAAGAATGATTATTGGAATAAAGCACCATCTAGTTTTTGCTCCTACTGCATATACTTTTGACAATTAATTGAATAAATTACCCGATACCTTTAATTATTACCTTTGCATACCAGCGTGTCTTGCATACCAGTCCTGCCTATTTTGGCTCATTTGTCTTTTCCCACTAATCCTTTATATGCAACACACCAATTTTTATGATTAATCTTCCTTCTTCAACAGCTCGCACCATTATCACTTAGGCTCCGCTACCTAAAAGGTTCCCAGCACTTAGATTTGATGCAATATTTGAAGTAACAATATCGGCTTATGCGAATATATAGCATCACACCCATGCGTTCGACGCTTCTGGCTGCCATATGATAGGCAACAAGGAATGAGATGTAATAATGCAGATCGCACTCTCTAACAATATATTTGCCGTCTGACCGTGCCTGTCGACTCGCTTAAAGACAAGAACGACGAAGGTATTCGCCCACTCTCCTCTCTCGTTCAATCACCTAATCGGTAGCTAGCGACTCAGCGACGCTCTCCCAGTTATTATCATTCACATCAAGTCGCCTTCAAAGGTTAGAACTTTTGCCAGTCGTTTAGCGACTGAAATATTTTTTCCTTCTTCACATATATTTTTTAATTGTTTTAAACATTTTTTAATTTCTTTATCGAAACAATTAATACAAAAAAGAAATTAAGATGAACTAAACTTTTTTTCAAATGTAGCATAAAATAAACAATGTCCTCCACGCTTTTTTGCGATCGAAAACCCCGGACAGTTCACACTTAGTAACACTACAACCAGTTTAACAGCAATCCATCTAAACAACCTCGAAAACTCTACGCTACACCTTCCACTAGTCCACTCAATGCAAACTTCGCTCCATATTATTTCGTAATTATTTGTGATTGGAAAATTACCAATGGATTTTCGTCTCAGGACCAAATTAAATTCTAACAGCGAAATATTTATAATTTCTGACCGATTTTTACCACAACCCAGTCTTTCCAAGCCGATGCGAAGGCCTCAATTTACGATAATTTAAGCGCACGAATGAACTTGCATTTTCGACCAGCCATCAGAAATTTTTCGAATTTGTGTAATATTAGTTTTATACACTGGGAAACAACATTGAACACAAAAGAATGCAAAAATGTGAAAATTACAAATGCCTTTAAGGTACATATCAAATTCGAAACCATTTCTCGCTTTCCCTTCCATTTTTTAAACATTTTTGGTAAAACACCCATAAAAAGGTATTCCCCGGAAAATTAAAGCATCATTCTTAGGAAAACTGAGAATTAAGGGATGTGTGGGAAAATAGGACAAGAAATTAAAAGTCCTTTTGTGTAAAAGGCATGAAACGAATGATAGAGACTTACGCTAAAGTACAACAAACGTACCGAAATCAAATAAAGAAAAACTATCTTATTATACTATATATCATACTTTAATTTGTTAAAGCTGTTTCACAAACTGTAGAGTTTTTCATTAAAAATCTCTATTCTTCAACTATTTCATTATTAAAAAGTGGGATTCGCACACACTATTAATGATGAGACTATTAATGAGACCTTAACCTCAAAATTTAGGTATTCTTTCCAATTAGGGACGAAGCCAGTAATTACATAAGTATAAACAGAAAACAACATAAAAATAAGAATCTTGTGAAAGATGACGTTTTTTGAAAAAATCGCTGAAAAATCAGTCACAAATATGGAAAATAAATTTCATTCGAAAAAAACTGGAATAAATTACCATTTGAAACCAAAAATTAAATAAATGAAAAAATAAGAAAAATATAAAACCAGGAATGTATTTCATATTTCAAATAAAATAAAATAAATAAATACCTAATACTCTATAAGGAAGAAATTAGCTTTATTCTGTCACTTTTTATATCCAGCGCGAATTTTTTTTTTGACAGAATAATTAAAAATGAAATTAAGGAAGAGAACAAGAATGTAACAAATTACAAACTAAACTGACACCAATAAATAAACTTCTTGTCATGAAACACAAATATATAGTTAATTTACACAATAGATGGTAAACCTATATTATATATACCGAATTACAAATAAAGTTTCTCAATAAAAGAAAATAACCTTTCCATTTTTACACAAGTAATTATCAAGAAAAATCAAGTTTCACCGTAAGCAAATCCATTGGTTCGATCGAGATTCCATCTTTTAGTTGTTTTCCATCAAACAATAGCGTTAATGAAGATTCAGTAACATTTATAATGTTATTTAGTGGCAACGACGACAAATTGAACTGCAAAACAAATAAATTACATTTACTTCCATGTTTATAAACGTTTTCATTCATTCATTATTTCACGGATCTGATAGAAACAGAAAATAAAATGCCTGACTTTCTTTTAGCGTGGTTTTCCATGAAGTCACTTGGCAGAAGTAAAAATGAGTCACCAGAGCGAATTTCTGAAAGACCTGCTGGAAGAAGTTTACTATTTTGTTTACTATTTTTCCCTCACAATAAAATGCCTAACATTTCCACCACTTGTGCATTTCATATTCATGTGAACATAAGAACGGCAATCAACAACAAAACGATGTAAAATAAGCGCTTGCGAAGGTCGTGAAAAGTGCTTTTTACGAGATAATTTATCGTTATATATCGTTGGTGCGGATAAAGTACGGAGTGTTACCATATGAATATCGCAAGGCACTGGTGAACGAAGGCCAACAAATGAACTGGCATACTCTGAAAATACAAAGTTACAATTTTATGGAGAAAAGACTGAAGAATCTTGTATTGCACATGAAAAAATGTTTCTAACCTTTGCTTCGATTTCCATGCATAATGATAATAGGATAATTTAAAGAAAGAGAAGCATAATGTGAGGTCATTGATGGATAACCCGTGGTAAACAGAGACCAAGGCATTTCAGTGTGCCTATTTAGTGGTTCAACTAACAAACGAAATTCATTTGTTGTTGCTATGTTGTCGAGAACAGCCTTAAAATTTTAGATTGAAATCTATTAAAACATTCCAGCCCTTGTGTTAATAAATCAAGACAAAACCTCTATTTTTCTATCACTAAACTTGTAATACATGCAAATGAACTTCAGAAAGCAAAAATTTTAAAAAAGAGAAGTATAAAAAAATAAATTATATCGCGCATGATTTTAAATGACTCATAAAACATTGATAGATTATCTAAATAATTAAAGAAATTTAACTGTAAAACGTACTTCGCCAAGGCCGCGATTATCATCTTGATCCAGCCGTCGATCAAGCATTACTTCCATCCAACCTTTAAATAATTTGATAAATCAAGATTTCAACAAAAAACGTACTTTAAATCACAATAAAGATTCTAAGTCGAAAATGAAAGAGTCTAAGGTAATTCATGCCAGTATTAAGTAAGCAACCTAATAAAGGGTCGAATGGCTCAGTGCATTGTTGCTCAATTCGGAGCGCCGATGCTGAGGTTCCCCCCTCTCGCAGGAGAAAACCTTTTAAAAAATTCGGGTGATGCTGACGACTCAGCACTTTTATTGCCAAGGGACTCGCTGGCATATTTGTCTTATACGATAAGCCACCTGAGCGAGTCTAATTAATAATGGTGATAAAAAAAACCGACCTAATGCTGAAAGAATATAAGAGAAAACAAGAAAATAACTGCAATAATTTTAATATCAAATCATAAAAACAGAAAAGAATAATTCGACAAGCTGTAGCCTCTAATAAAATAAATGGCTTAAAACCGTATTACTACTAACCTGATTCTAAACTTGAAAAACCTAATGGTTGAGCTGTTAGTAATGAAACTCGCGTAATTTCATCCTCAATAAAAGCAACAGTAGGCATTGGATAAAAATGACTTTGAAGAGGCAGTTTTGAAAATCGTCTTCGTTTAATCATCTAAACGACATAAATAAGTCACTTAAAATAACGTCTGAATCACATGCAATATGATTCATCTACAGAAAAAAATCGCTTCCCTTCCATTATGCAATGAAAACTGGATAAAATATACCTGATAACCATTCAGATCTGTAAAGAACAGATTTCCATTATTTAAGGACGTCTTCAAACGCATTGCCAATTCAAAATTATGTTGATTAGCAATATTCAATATGTTTTTTAAATGCAGATATGGTACACCTGCGTAAACAATAGCTGTATGATCCAAATGAACTGATTTCTCACTTCTTACAACAACCTTCAAATAAACTTCGAAAAAAAATTTGTTAGATATATATATATATATAAATATTCCAAAACAACTCTCAAAAAAGAAGTACGATCATGAAAATACTCTTGATTTCGCACAGTAATTCTATGACTTTTTCAGCATATCCATTTCTTGAAAATTGTTTTCATGATAAATGACTTACCTTACTCATTAGGGGACCAACAACCACTGCATAATTATTAGATAATTCTACTGGTTTTGCAGGACCTTTAGGAAGGAACAAATAAGCACCAGAACAATCGTCACCACCTTTCAATGGAACTAAAAACAAATAGAAAAAGTATTGAAAAAAAGAAAAAATGAATATGACATAAAATCAATTTGCAATAATTCTTTCATTCCAGATAATTTGTTACAAATAAAATTGAAGTGAAGTGGAATTTTTTTGAAGAAACTTCATGAATAACTAAAAAAATAAATACCTGGACTCTTCTGTCTGGCTTCATAATGAACAAATGATAACATAGTTGATACTGCACCACTGGAATTCAGTGTAATCTCCTAAAGTGAGGTAGGTTGAATAACGATCGACCATCGTATTTTCATAATGGAGAATCGAAGATGTTTATATTACCTGGTTCAAACAACACTCCAACAAGTTAGGCAGCTCAATTTGCTCCTGGTTAAAACGACTTGTCGAAATCGACTTCACTATAATCTCACCAGCTCATCATACGATTTCGACATTCCACCGGGTGTCAAATGAGCATGCGAAAATTGTTAATAAGACTACTTTCTCGCATAAAAAATATATATATATTTGTTAGTCTCCTATAGGTCTAAACACCTTCACAATCACAATGATCTGAAGCAAAAAGATATGGACATAATTCAAGAGCGACACTGCCATCAGCCATCTTCTCTATATGGATGATAACAAGTTTTATGCAAAAAGTGATATTTAGCCTATCCATCTAACTCAGATCTTGTGCGAGGACAATGGGATGTACAGATTAGATAAATGTACTCGGATGGTAGTAAAGGGAGAAAAAATAGTAATGATTAATGAGGTGGATTTGCCAACAGAACAGGACATATAGACTGGCTAAAAGTACTTTAGTTCCCCACAATCACATGGAAATTGCAATAAGGAGACAAGGAAAACTGTAATATCCAAGCATCATCAAAGGACAAGAGAAAGCTAGCCAGCTCCATGGGAAAAACAAAATCCATGCCATAAATACATGCGCCTTGCCAGTCATCAGATATGCAGCTGGCATTGCAAGATGAGCAAAGGAAAACATGTAGACGTAAAAACTGCTGCTGATGTAAAAACCAGGAAACTCCTCATAATGCATGGAAATTTCCACTACATATCCAATACCCAAAGGCTGCATACCAGCCAGAAAGAAGGCGTGTGCTGCTGAGTGTGAAAACCACTATCCTGATTCAAACTCGATACATTCATACATATCAGCAAGATGGCACCAAAGGATAAACTGCTGAAAGAATGTCTGAAGCATGCACAGACATTGGAAAATGATCAAAAGGAAATACCATGAAAAGCAAGACACCTCCCATGGATTGCACCATTGAAAGATACATAAGATAGCTGACATTGTGAAATCCTAGCAGTGGTAGGAAAAAGCTGGACTAAAAGGTAACAATGAGGCATTGATTACAGCAACACAGGAGCGAGCAATAAGCACCAGAACCATCGAAACAAGGACCCAACACAATAGACAGGACTTTAGGCGCAGATAGCGCAAAAATATTTTAGAAACAATCCAACAAATAGTGGGAAGATGTAAACTAAGCCGAAACAACATATACTTAAAGACATAATTAAATGGCTGGAATCATTTACAGGAATATTTCCTCGGTATATGGCTTAGACCACCCAAGACTAATTGGGAAATTCCTCAGAAAATCATAGAGAATAATAAGGCGAAGACTGTGGGATTTCTTCATCCAACCATATAATAGACAAGAATCAAAAATCACTAGTGATAGATATAGCAATACCAAGTGAACAGGAACGTCAGGAAGATGGAATATGAGAAATTTGAGAAAGCTGAAAAAAGAATTAAAAGAAAAAAGATGTGGGAAGTGAAAGTCAAAGTAATTCCAGTGATAAATGGAGTACTTGGGACCATGGCCCCTAAGCTAGAAAAGTGACTTCAGCAAATTTCAGGAACAGCACCAGAGACCACCTCTATACAGAAGAGGGCATTATTAGGAATAGCTAAGGTACTGACAGAACCATCAATCTCCCAGGCTTCTGACAGAGGACTCGAAGTTGAACATGATCAGGACCACCCACATGGAGTGGGAAAAAAGTTACCTTATTTGTTCAAAAAAATCTTTTTTTATTACTTTATTTTCTTTTTGTTGTTATTCTGTATTTTTATTCATCATTTATTTATTTATTTTAGCAAACTCATTTCGCAACCGATGAGGAATCTAAACCCAAATCAACTGACATTTTGGCGAAATTCCAGTGAAATCGATCTGGATAAAATATTGTCAACTGAAACGTGCCCAATACTGCGGGGTGTGGCTGAAGCTCGATATTAAGAGAAGATTTACATAGCAATATGTAGAAAATGCCCACATTTACTCACCACTGCCTTCATATCAAGTTCATGCTAGCCCTATTAATTACCAAAACCACAAATTGAAAGTTAATCATCTACAACTATATCCTTGTTATTTTAATATCAATAAAAACTATAAAAGACCATCAGATATCCAGTGCTCGAATCAAAAGTCGCGGTGAAATATTCATTGTTTAAGGTGAACTGTTTTTCTTTTATTATGGATACATTGAAACCACTAAAAAAAATTTAAAATTACCACATATTTTATCAATTTTCTTATACTTTATCGACAAACTATTAACTATCAAAAATTTATCATTTCAAAATGCTCATAAATTAAACGATTATACTATCTGCCAAGAAAAATTTAAGTTAGCGATCAAGCATCTATTTTCAAAAATTCCGTTAATGCCCTGTAAAAATAATTCTACCTTAAGTTTACAGCATTATTCACGGACATAATTACAGCTCGTCGGTTTTTTTCTTCTGTAATAATGAGATGGTATCTTTCAAAACCAAGAGCGGGGACTGTGGCAAGGAAACATAACTAAATATGGGTTGAAATGAGTATAATATGATTATTCCAAAAAAGTTACAAACCTAATATATTCGTTTAGCATAATTTTAAACGCTTAAGGCAAAAAATCAAGAAATAATTAATTATAAAGGATTACATTATTTTTCAATTCACAGAGTCGAAACATTCCAAAATATCAAAAATTTCAATCATGCATACCTCAAAAATCCCAGGAATCACTGCCAATTTTGAATTAGTGAGATTAAAAACAGGTCCTATTTGTTGAGGAACAATGTTTTGAGAATTGACACGTTGAATAATTGTATTAAGCGAATTTACATTAATACACACAACTTCCTGACGAACTTGAGCCAAAGAATTGAAAAGTATTATATTGCTGAAAATCTTTTAAGCCACACATTTATAATTTATATAGAAGCCATATAACAAAAAAAATAAAGTTTTGGGCTTTATTTAAAAATCAAAGTGTAAAAATGATAATCCGAAAAGCAACTGTTGTACAAATTAAATGTTTTCGATCCTTGTCATCAAATACTTCAACAAAATGAAGGAACTAGCGGAATAAAATAATAGGGATCTGAACTTCAAAATAATTTTTTCAATTTTATTATAAAATCAAATATATAAATCATGAATTAAATCAAATTTCAGTTTAGTGCAAAAACAAAATGAAAAAACGATGTTAAAGTACAAATTACACAAAAAAAATAAAAGTTTTACTTATTAGAATGGATGGTTCCATCCAGTGGTAAAGAACTGTAAGAAAAGCGATTGTTATTCTGAAAAGTAAACGTCAATGGAACAAAAAAGTCGGGTTTCAATTCCTAAAATTAGAATGAAAATAAGCTCATTTCGAATATAACTTGGAATAATTTAAAGAAGATAACCACATAAAAAAAGTGTGAATTTTTTGAATGGTGCATGAATGGTACAATAGTGCATATAAGCTAGTCATTTTACCTAGCTTAATAAGCCAATGGAAATAAATCGTTGTATCTAGCTGATATTCATATGCCATTTGCCACAACAAAACTACCAACTTAATTTAGAAATATGCAGAATAATAATTAGTAATAGGCCTTTCAAATCGTTAAAATATAAAAACTTCAAAAAAATTCACCATTGTCAAAAATGATTTTAAAGGTTGTGTATCGTCCACTTTTTGACTGCCTAACAATATTTCGGTCGTTTTACAAATTATTTTCTCACAACTTTTAAGTGCATTCAGTAATCTGAAAGTATAAAAAATTCAAAACGAATTGCCCAAGTAAATAAAATCAAGAAAATCTGAAATAAAATCAAGAAAAAGCTAAAAAAAATTCACTTGTCACCATAATCGGCAACAACTTCTGCTCTTGCAGTGCCTGTTATCCCATCATGGTGTTGAAATAAACTTAAGTTGCGTCTTGCTTTTACCAAAAGGGGGAATAATGTATCGGCGGTTTTCGAATTCAGTTTTGTAGCTCTCAAAAAGCTAAAAAGTATTTCAGCCGACCTATAAAACGAATTTTTATTATAAAATACAGATTTAAAAATATGAATTTCAATATGCCTTCATTTGAAACGATGGGCCCTGTATCAAGCTATATGTATTCCATAAAAATCTTAAATTGCTTAGCTGGCTTCTTTCCTTGAATTTCTCAAACTTCTTCGAAGTTCCATGTTTTCCGCAATTTTCAAAAATGCGTTAAAAAATTTTAAATTTCATGTTTAATTTAAATTTAAGAAAAAAATTTTAAAAACACAATTTAATATTTTTTCTCTTCATCTCAATTTTTCTTCTTTTTTATCTTTGATAGGAGTCATAAAAATCTAAAATCTAATACTGGACTCATCTATGCTATAGAGACTAAAAAACTAAAAACTTCTGGTTATCTTCATATGGCATCCACATCTCCCGACACGCAGGAGTCGCGCATGGTGAAAAGATTCAGAAAGAATAGACTCGCAGCCAAAGAACTATTTAACATTTGTGAAAGAAGAAAAAGAATTATGCAGCGCTTCAGATAGCTAGGAACAAAATAACGAAGCGATAAACATATCTGGAATATCTAGATTCGCTCTAGATAGCGTGGAAACCTGTTAATGACAAAATGGCACGCACTCGGTTCATATGGTAGTATACTCCCAATTTACGCGCAGATATTCTAATAAATATATGTTGTGTGCAGAACTTTATTGCTAACACCATCTCTACCAAAAGGCGCACAGGATATGATGCTGTGAGGTTCTGTGGTCGGCAAATATGATATCGGGGTCTGATGTGAAAATAGGGAAGGCCTCCGTTTTGCCGAACAACATGAACTTTTTATTATTAATACAGGCAAATTACGCTTTCTGTTCGAAAATGTAGCGTTTTACATACAAATTCAAAAAAATTCGATCTTCCTAAACTTTTTCTTAATAATAACATAATTAGACACATATTTCCGAACTTGGCTTAATCGTGTATGAAAATCTTGACTTCGACCTTCACTGCAGAATCGTATACAGAAACCCTCAGGAATACTATTTTTACTCCCGATCTTTAAAAAACAGAAATCAAAGCCTTTTTATCAAAATGTACAAAGCGTTCATTCGGCCTCTTCTTTCTTGATTACCTAGTAGCCTAGTAGCAATTTTAATTATAAAACACGACTTCAACAACACAACCTGTATTACCTCTCAATTCGTCGAATCAAACAAAATTTAATCTATACTTAAAAAATTCTATGTGGTTAAATTATTGTTCAAAATATAATTTTAGGTTAAATTGAAATCCAACAAAACCTAATGCGCTAAAATTATTAAAACCTTTATACAATACTACATTGATGACTCATAACTTCTTTATTCGTACCATTAAATACTGGAATGAACTACCGAACGATATATTGTGCATCATCCTTAGTTACCTTTAAAAAATGATTAGATAATATCATTTATGATATTATTTAAAAAGTTCACATAAAGTAAGAAGTTTTAAATCTTGATTACGTATACGTAATAAAGTTACTTCGATTGTACTATTTTGTTAATTTTTGTCCTATTTCTTTTTTTTATCATTAATTTTCATTATATTATTTTATAATCATAGTTATTAATACAAGCATATGACTCTTGCCGCCCTGCTTGGTTAGCTTTCAATAAATAAATAAATACAAGTCTTCTTATCTTATAAATGTTACATCGAAGAAGCCACCTGGTCATGTGGAACTCCTCGGATAACCAACACTCCAATCAGATTGATTGTCTTAGTCAGTTGCTATTGGAAGAGTTACCTAATAGACAGTCGTTGCTACTGCGGAGCTTAAAAGGGCAATCTGCATGGATCTTATCATATTAAGATCTCAGCCAAGATTTGCAAAAAACTCTTATCTTAAGAAACAATGTCTCCTAAGGTCTTTCAAACTAAAATTCGAAGACAGTAAATGCATTTCAAACCGAATTATTGAAGCACCTCAGTGAAACAAATATCAACGACATGTGGAACACTTGTCCCAAATAAATGCACGTCTCTTAAAGTCACTTCTACACTAGGATATGCTAGCATAAAATGTGCTAGTCCAGTGTCGGAAGAAACTGCCAATTGTCCGAAAATGCTACTAAGGCGCAAATATCGGATATTTCGAAGAATTATAATGGAAGTAGCATAGCGGACCGAAAGCGTTGGATCGATATGGCCTTGAAAATGGAATGGAAAAAATGACTCGATTAGGTGATAATAGGAAATTATTTCGCATCCTTCGTGAAACAACTATAGCGGCAAATGAAATAATCCAAAATAACAACATAGTGCCTATTAGGGCTAAAAAGACAAGGTTCTAGACTTTGGTAAGACTTTGGTAGATTCGAGTCAGGCGAAAACTCAACATTTGCAGTCTTTTATCAACTATCACAGATGACTACGTTTCCAAAATCATGCTCACTTTTTCTAATGAAATTGTTTAGTAATAATGAAGTTAATTTATAAAGAAAGATTGTCTTTTAACGAATAGAGCGATATTTATCAATCACGATATAACTGAAACGCACGTCCAGCCGCATGATTACTACAGCAGAAGACGTCAATGAAGCGCGAAATCACCCTCGTTCTTCTGAAGATTAAAGCCAATTAAACTCCCGGAAAAGACGGCCTTCCGATTGAACTTTTCAAATATTATTGAAAATCATTTGTAACCAACCTTCGAGTAACAACTGGTAAGGAAGAAAGAAATAATAGCAAATCACAGGTGCAAAGGAATCTTGTTCCCAATTAACAAGAATGAATAACAAGATGTACTGTAAAGCTGTCAGAGAATTCAAGGAATTAACCAACTAGACTCTTCTAGGAAAATTTTCGCCATGCGCCCTAACCAAGTTGTGGTAACCAAAGAAATTCAGGCTAAGAAGAACTGAACATCGTTTCAAATATCGAAAATTGCAATCTATTTTGATTTCATCTTCGATTCGATTGGTGCTCCGGAACGTTAAAGAGTGATTCCAGAGAAGATACGACTCAATAAGTCATATCGGTGTATATTAACATGAATTTGTGTATGAGAATTGACTATCTTTTTGCTTTTTTCTTGTAAGCACCGAAATTGCTAGTTAGACTCACTCCGTTCTGACTTTGATGATAGAGATACAAGTTATCGACACCATTCGAATTTTCGGACAAATTTACTTCTGTCAGAAATAAAACGGAGTCAGTATCTGCGATCCGAGATAAGCAACAAGTCATTACGTAACCGCGGCAACTCATTCTCCCATTTCATTTCTCCATTAGAAGGCACTGCCCGATGAAGTGTACGCGACGGCCGGATCTGAACCTAAGATTCGATTCTCGGTGGCAATTATCTTGCCACTGATGCATAGCCCGCACCATTGACTGACTTATCTTTCCGAAACAAGAACTGGGGTACGTTAATATTACGCTTTTTATTCTTCGCAACCAATCGCAGAAAATGACCCATATGTCGCTAGTTGTTAAATCCTGAGACAGATAGCCACAAGACCGAAGAGGCCAATTAAAATCTGACTGATACGACCAGATGAACATTTTGAGCGTCATTATATATATCCGCTTTCCATCGCTTCATATATTTGCAAACCACTGTCATAAGTTTCATCGACTTTGCGGCTGCCTTTGATTCAATTAATATAAGAGGCACTTTGGAGGATGATGGAATGCGTTGGTGTTCCAGAGAAGATCATTTGACTCATAAACGCGTTTTATGAGCGTACGTTGGGGCAGATCTATGTATATGGGGAACTGACATACTCCTTCGAAATAAAAACTGGTGTCCGTCATGGCCTGTGTGCTTACCCTTGCAATATTCAACTATGCGATAGACTGGGTAATGGACACTCCTTGTCGGCACTCAAGGAGCGTCCAAATTAATCCACGGCATCGTATCACAATAACGAATACGCTGATGAAGTAGTCCTGTTTGACAGTTATGACGAAATGCAAATAATAACGTGTCAGAAACGCAGCAAGAAGAGGACTCAGAGTCAACACAAAACGAAAGCCTTTTCGTCTCATATGCAAGAAGCTGATAAAATGCCTCTTTTCATAAATTCATTGCCGGTTGAGGAAATACCGGCTTTGAATACCTTGGGCCCACTCTAATCCCAAATGGCCAGACAAATTACGATATTATAGCCCGATCACGGCAGCTAGAAAAGTTCTTCCGGTTGACGAAATCTTTATGGAGCCGTCATGAAATTACCATTAAAACGAAAGTCCACATCTATATAGCTGTAATTCATTCGATCTTGTTATATGGCTTTGAGACATGGCCACTGAGAGTAGAGGATATTAAGAAGCCCTTTGACCACTAAGGCACATTTTACGGGTCCGTCGAGTTGATGAAATATCACATGATCGCATCCAACTTCGTTCAAATATCGCTTGCATTAATAATGTTATCACAGAGCCTCGCCTTTAGTGATTAGGGGCTCGTTCTCCGTCGTCCACCACAAGAGTTCTCGCATATTTCATTACTTGTTAAATCGTGTAATGGATGGCGTAAAAAGCGAGATGGGCCAATCAAGACCTGGACTGATAGGTCAGGAAAGATTTTGAATGTATAGGTGGACCAGCAATATATGGACTTAGACGATGAAAAAAGGAATGGCTTCCATTACTGTCGACCATGGCATCAGAACGCGCCTCTTGGATATCTTATCCTTGTAGCCGCTGGAGCCAGCCTAACCAGTAATCGTGAGAGCTGTTAGAAGAAGAAAGAAGCTATCTCAATTTAACAAATAGCGACATAGGCGTCATTTTCTGCAATGGGTTGCCAAGAACGAATAGCATAGTAGTAATGTACACCAGTGATTCAAGTGGCCCAGTGATGTAGTCGCTTAAGAAATGGAAAATGAAATACCTTCTGTTACTTTACAAGCTAAACAATAATGATGAGGTTAAAAGAAGAGCAACTATTAAATGAAAATACGCTTCAAATCTGAAATATCTTCGCATCCTCAGAAAATGTGATAATGAACTATTATTATTTGTAGAATTGACTGCAAGCAAATATTAAATCACCTTAAATAATGTTGTAAAACGCGATCCATACGTTTGTAGAAAGGACGACTGGTGTAATATCCTAGAAAAAATCTATTTAATTAAAGTTTAATTATTTTAATAAAAATTTAAAATAATGTAAAATTTTATTATAATGATAAATTTATTATCTATATTTTTTAAGAATAAACATGAAGTTTTCGAAAATTTTTCATAATTGAAACAAAAATATATAATTTTTACAAACCTTTATTTAAAATGTAATACTGTTTACTACTACCCTAAATTACATTATGATATATTAATGGAAAGCCAATAGAAACAACTGCTGTATTATTCAAATCCTAATTCTCACATTAGCTATAAACTAAAACTTAGATTCAATGTGCCATTATTGAAAAATTTTGCTTTCATATAATCGTTTTACCTGTCTTTTTTTGAGTTATTTATAAGCTCATAGGCATTTTTAACCCAGCTTGGTTCTTGCCAAATAAATGAGCATTACAATAAATGCTCGACATATTTTAAAATTTTTCTTCAAAAACATCACATTTTAAAAAAAAACAGTAAAATAAAAATAAACAGAAAAATTAAGAGAAAATTTTTACAAAAGTCAAAAACTGTTTTAAAACCAATACCACTCCAATAGTGATCATTACGATCAGCATATGTAAAGAAATCGCCAGACAGAATAGGTAATTTTTCTTGCTCATCATTCAGTGCCGAATGCATAAGTTGAAAATATTCATTTACTGTACCAAATCGAGCCTGAAATCGTTCATAAAACTTCATTGAAATAAATAGAGCAATTCAGAGCAACATAAACAATAAACAATTGAAAAACAGGAAAAATTGGATACCGAAACCCACTGAAACTGAGCAAACTTCTTACATGGATGTTCCAATCAGGCCGAGAATTCATAAATTGGAATAATTTCTGATAATTTTCAAATTTTTCTTGCCATTCGCTTCTTCTCTCATAACGAAAGTCATCCCCAAGTGGTATAAACAACACATTCGTTTTAAAAAGCTGAGATTTTTTTCGATACTGGTCATAGATCAATTCTGCTCTAAAAGATCAAGTTTAAAGAATTATGATACGCTTTGAATAGAAAATTTTTTAAAGTTATTATACGATACGCTTTGAATAGAAAATATTTCTTATTTTGAATTATAAAATTATTATTATTATTACAAAAATTATTATAAAATTATAAAATGAATATAAATAAATTAAAATTAAATTAAATTATAAACCAGATTGTTTTAAAATGTTTTTAATAAATAAGATTTCCACAGACTGAAATGCTCACAATGACCTATTCATTACGAACACTTTTTTGGCGAAATTTCCAAATCTTCACATCGAGATGATGAGATGATCACTAGTTTGATTACCACTAATTTAATGCATTTTATAAAAATTAGTATTAAATTAGTATTAAAATTAGTATTAGCATTAGTATTAAAAAAAGTTTAAAAGAAAGTTTTGCAAAAAAAATTCAATGAAAGACTATACAGATTACCGTTCACCAAGATTTTCTTGGTCGATCTTCTGAGGATCCACTTTCCACGGGCAATTTCTTCTGCCAAAATCAAATTGACAACATATTTTTGGATCGGGTCCACATGTATGAGGGATGTCGTAGGAGAAAAATGGCATAATATGTAAAACAAAATCTGTATGGTTCGAGAGACCTCCTAAATTAAATGTGAGAAATATATATATATATAGAGAACTCCATCAAAATGTAGGAAAAATAATGTACAAAATTACCCCAATGTTGGCGCCAAAAAAATTCCAATTCCTTATGTTCTGCCAAACGCTTCTTTATAATGTAATGTACTCGCTGACTGATTCCATTAGATAGCCTGGCACGATTTAAAAGAAATGCCATAGTTGGACTTAAACCAAAGGGGTCGATGGACCAATGATTACGTGGCTTATAATCTGAAACAAAGAGAATAAATGCAAGGAAAAATGAGTTCGAGGAGAAAAAAAATGGTATAATATTTTTAATAGTTTAGATGATTTTTTCGATCTCTCAGAATAAATTCATCTCTTACAGACATTTTTAGGCTTTTATTGTACATGTAATATAATACATGTACAAAGGTTAAATGAAACCTCGAAAAGATTAATTTTTAGATAAAAGATAGAGTTCGAAAAAAAAAATCAATGAAGAAAAATATTACGGTTTACCTTTACCAATATGGTTTTGAATCCATTCATGTCCTTCAATCATTTGGGTAATCATTGAAAAATAATGTGAATTGGCTTCATCAGTCATTACCCAACCACCAGTGAGAATTTCCAACCTTCCATCATCCAAAAGCCTAAAATATAGTAAAGAAAAGAAATTTTTTTATCATTAAAAAAATATATATTTTACTAACACGATTTTTTTATTTTTTTTTTCTTTCTGGTTAGAGAAACATTTGACAAAAGAAGCGAGACCAATCGGTAGAGGCATTTTAATTGTTGAAAGATTTATTTCTAACAGGAGTAACTTCAGCGCCTGTATATGTCGAATTGGATAGCCACTTGTACTATGTAAAGTACCATTCAAGTACTTTTGAGTTTATTTCAAGTGTCGTTTTCTGCAGCCCCATTAAACAAAGATCTTAAGTTCTTTAATGTTGACTCTAACAGAGCAAGAAATTCATAAATCCATGTATAAGGCATAGAGACATAGGCTTTTCTGTAGTCAATCCAGGCTATGCATACATTGATTTGTCAAGACAAGCGTTAAGTGACTTTTTCAATTGCACTGAAGTTGAGAATACATCTTGGATGGTTTCACCATGGAGAACAGAGCAATTATCTTTTTAGCCTTTACTTCTCTATTGTATCTTCTCAGACTGGCTAATACTGTTAGCCTTTGTTTAACAGTCTGTAAAGGTAAAGCAATCCCTAATGGAGCATAGCCTTGCATTTTCCCAAGAGCCGAGTTTAATCTCCGTACCCTTGGGTAGTTCTATCAGCTAATTTCTCTGCGTTATGCTCTGATTTTATTCTCTAGCTTCATTTTCCAGGAAGACATGTATTGTTGTATTTCTACATCCTATATCAAGCAGTTCCAGCGGCTCAGACGTAAACCAATTCATTGGTTCTACTATAAAGGTAGTAGAAATTGCGAGTATTACTTCCCCATCTTCAGGTGTATCTAATACTACCTAGTGATATTTCACTGGATCTCGATGATTGATTTCGATGGCTGATTAGAGTAAATTTATTCATTTTTTCTGCTCTTCTGGATACTTCTTCTTCTAACAGCTCTCACTATTGTTGGTTAGGTTAGCTCCACTTGCAGACCGAGCAGCTTGGAAACGTCTTATCTTCATAGCCAGTGCACCCAGCCTAACCAGTAAGAGCTGCTAGAAGAGAAAGAAGAGACAGGAGCTTCCTTTTTTCAACGATGAAGCATTGAGCATTGAGCATATTGAGTTTCTGTTTCTCATTTAATGTAGATGTCTTTTTTCCATCTATAATTTTTTTATGTTTCTTATAACTCCTTTCATTAAATCTAATGCTCAGAAGCATTTCAATTTCAAATTATCCTGTCTTTTCCATGTGAAATTTTTTCTAGTACGCCTTTTAACGCAAGACTGCCCTGATTCCACAACACCTGGCGCTAAGATGGTTGCAATAAAACACCTATACAAATTGCCACTACGATTCTTTTCATCATAAAAAAGAACTTAATCCGTATGAAAGAACCACTGTTAACTTCAGAGTAAATGAATGTTTAAACTTCAAATTAAAATTGATTTATAAATGAAATTTATAAATAAAATAAAATTTAACTTTTTAACAACTGTCCTCTTTGCATGATCGATTTCGCTCCACCACAACTCAAAAAAGCTCATTTCAGCATAAACAAAACGCATTTCTGGATTTTCTTGCAAGAACATCAACATATTTTCAAAAATATTTTTTGTTTGGTCAAGATAGTAATTTTCAAATGTTTTCAACCATCCTAAAAAACGGTAAATATTTCAGATTGATGAGTAGGTTTAAAAAAATGGATAAATGTCAAACCAAAATGCCATATAGGCCAAAAATCAAAAAGAATAATGCATATTCTTTTGATAGAAAAATATAGAGGAATTCATATTAAATTTCTCAAAGATGAAAAACAAGAAAAAGTAAAATACAAAAATATTAAATATAAAAATGTTCGCAACAGACCAGGATCCGTATGCGAATGAGGTACAACAATAACTTCAAGCTTTTTTTGCTTACGAACTTGATCGTGATCATATTTTATATCAAATCCTTGTTTCCAAACACCTCCGTCGACATCTTCAAATGATAACAACTGATAAAGATCAACCATCTAAAACGGATCATTAGATTAAGAAAGCATAAAATGAAAAAATTAGCTACGATATATTCATTAATTAAAAAGAACATCAACATATTTTCAAAAATTTTTAAAATAATTTCAAATTCATCACTACACTACTATTTGCTAATTTATATGTAATTTGTCATTATCTGTCGGCTTTGGCCAACCGATTTATTTTTTGTATTCCAATTTGGTCAAGGATTCTGATAATCCATTACTTAAAGCTGGGAAGTACTAATAATACAGATATTGTTGGGAAATTATTTAAATGGATTTCCGGTTATATGAGTGGTCGTCTTCAAGTTGTAAATGATTCGTATCAATGATTCCTTGGTACAATTTTCGCTCGTTGGATCGGGTGTAACAAGATGTTTCATTAACCGTTGTTGTTAAAAATTCTAATGCTTATCTTTGTGCTGGTGACTGAAAAGTTATAACATAGAGGACGGACTACCTTATCCCTTATAGACTGATTTTTGATTAGATGACTGTTGCCGGAGGTGAATAAAATTACCTACTAAAAAATTTAAATTTTTATCAGCAATATTGAAGTATTAAGTAGTATTAGTATTTCTGGCTTTTGTATATTAATCGATATTACCTTAATTTTCATAATTTGCATAATAGAAATATAATAAAAATAGCCAAAAAATCATCAAAAGTTTTTAATTATCTGTTCAAACTTTTAAAATAAGTCCTTAGCTTTGCCCGTCAAATTTATAAGCTCTGGTCTATTCTTACTTAAATACCACATAATGATGCTTCTAGATTTCCTAGATTTACAAATCAGTTAATTACTTAAAAGCTTACATAAATCTTTTGCACAGTTTAAGCGTACAAAACACATTATCAATTATATGCAATATTAAAACTCAAAATGCACGATTTGGATTAAGAACTGGAAAAATCAAATATCATCCATTTAAAGTTATACGACTTCTAATTAAATTTGAATAATACTAGATGTAATAACTAAGATAAATAAGCCTACTTAAAATAATCGCAGGAGAATAACTTGCGAAGAAAGCTATAAGCAAATGTTCAGTTTTCATCATGTTTATTCTTGACAAGAAATGGGAATAAAACTTCCGCTTACCCTTAGTAGAGGCAACTAAATCATCTTTAAAAACCTTTTTTTTAATCTGGATAACAACTTACGTGTATATCACTGCGAGGCCGAGATATATTAATCTGCACAGTACAAATATCACGTAGTTTTGCAGTGTCCGTATTTCGAACCTGGAATATTTATAACATAAAATGGCATAAAAATGAGAAGGCACTGCAAGTACTATCAATTTTAATGTCGTTTTTTTTTTATATGCATTAATTTCTACATTCGACGACGGAAGAGCAAACCTTGCTATATTTTTCATTGTCTTTGACCCCTATTAGATTGTCAGTTCTGATTTGTTTTACTAATAGTTCTTCACTGGCCAAATATGGTGCTTCTTTGTGCTTTTTCGTCATCTTCATCTTCAAACTTTTCTAATCAATTTACAAGAGAAATTGAAAATCAAACAGCAATGAAGGACATAATTTTTTGAATAAACAAAAAAATCAACCTTTTCTTCTGGCGCCAATAAAACTCCATCATTATCTTTCAGTGGATATCCAGCATCTGAAAAATATTCAAGTATTCAGGAAATATTAAATTAAAAAACTAGGACACTGATAAAATCGCAGTTGGGCAATATCGCAAGATGTCACGCTCTAATTGGCTAAAATATCAAACTAAATCTTCATAGAGTTGTGGGTAACTAAAGACTTAAGTTATGGGTATACGTGAAATTTTTTTAAATTCCGAACTTTTAGCGGAAATCTTTTTTTTCTTTAACATAAAAATGATGTACAAAATTAAGAGATTCAGGAAACACTATACCTTACCTTATTAAACTAACTAGTGAATGATGTCGTCGTTACGATTTCAGTTTTAAAAAATCATCATCTTACCAAAGAAAATGACCACGTTAGCACTTATCCCTTTCGTATTATGGTAATATATATCAAGTATACCAAATATCAAGGAATAAGCTTACTTGATACTTCATTACTATAAAGCTTTTGGCTTTCTTTTGTTGAACAGAATCAAGGCGCTGCATGACAACATGACCCTAACCAAACCAAATTTAAACAGGAACGTAGCTAGCTATCTGTGCTAATGAAATTTTCATGATAAGAATGGACAAACTGGAAAATCGATCCAAATACCGACAACCTACCATTGCTTGCTTCATCGACTTTGCCAATGAGGGAAAATAAATGAAATCTTATTAAAACATTTCTGCGTATGTCAACGAAAGTTTGTGGGTAAGAGGAATTGACACTTTTCGAAATAAGCACGAGTGTACGTCAAGGTTGCGTTTTTTCTCGCAATTTTTAGCTATGCGATATGGGTTGTGGACATCACTTACAGGTACTTAAAGAAATATATAAATTAGCCTAGAGCAAATCATGGACCTTGAATACACTGTTGTCCCCTTTATGAAATTACGAAGAACTGTAACAAAGAGGGTGTCGACGGCACTACAGCGAAAGTTGTCCTTCAAATCGAGATAAATAAGACGAAACTTTTCATTTTATATACTAGAACTCTCATAAGATTGCAATTCAAATAAACTGATGAACGATCGAAAGTGTCCTCTTTATTTTATATACTAGAACTCTGATAAGATTGCAATTCAAATAAACTGATGAACGATCGAAAATGTCGAATTTTAAATATCTCGGACCCACTATCATACTTAATGGACAGGAGAGGATATTCCAGCTTGGATAGTTTAGCCAAATGTGCCTTCTTTCGTCAGGTGAAATCGTTGTGGAATCGACGCAAAATCATCTGAAAAAAAAGTTCCCCGCTACATGTCTGCGAAACTTAGTCAATGAAAGAATGAAAGATATGAGGAACGCTATATCTTTGACCATTCTTGTCTAAGAGCTCGCCAAGTCGAAAGTCTCAAAAGATTGCATACACCTTCACTCGAATACCACCTGCATTAAGAATAAGGTTAGATAGCTTCGTCTGGTTGATCATGTTCTTCGCTCAGCATAGGAATTTACACACATTGCGCTACTAAACCTTGCGATAGATGGAGTAAAAAGTATGGAGGATCAATCAAGATTTTAAACGATACGGTCGGGAAAGATCTTGAAAGCATTAATCCACTAAATTATCCTAATCCTTATTAATAATACATAATAATTCTTTCATCTTCTTCTAACATCTCTCACCATTACTGGTTAGGCTGGCTCCAACGACTACAAGGGTAAGACGCTTCCAAACAGTGCGGTCTGATGCCATCGTCTAAGTCCATATATTGCTGGTCCATCTATACGTTCAAAATCTTTTCTCACCGTATCAGTCCAGGACTTGATTGGCCCACCTCGCTTTTGACGCCAACCATCATACGGTTAAGCAAATAACGAAATATGCGTCAATTCTTGTGGTGGACGACGGAGAATGTACCCTAACCAGCGAAGGAGGCGCTCTGTGATAACATTTATTTATGCAAGTGGTATCTGAACGAAGATGGATAGTAATTATTAAAAACAATTAATAATGATTAATAATAATTAACAACAATAATTGTTAACAATATTAATAATGAGAATTATTACAATAATTAATGATAATAAATAATAATAATAACAATAATAATAAAATCCATAAACAAGCATTTAAAAAGTCCATAAGACTATAGGTTCGAATCAGGCCACAATCCAAGATTTGCTATCTTTCACCAGCTATCGTCATGATTCTCCAAAATCGTTAGGCGATACTAATTTTTCTAATAAAATTCATTCACTGCTTTACTTGCACAAAATGAAACTTGACCAATATTTCTGAATTTTTGTTCAGTGTTGTTTTATTCGAAATGCATTTCTTTGATTAAACACAAAATGCAAGTTTCGATTTGCACAAAACTGGTTAAACTGCTGAAAGCACAATATTGTACAATGGGCTGAATAGCTGTTGTATCCCTAATTGAACTAGCACAATAACTGATAGCAAACACATAAAAAAAAATAACTAATAATATGACAATTTTCATAAAAAATTTGTAAAATTGTTTAAAATGATGTAAAAATAGAACTTAAGTCAAAAGAACAAAATGGACAGAAGCACGATTAAAACTTCCATTATGACAAATCAGATTTTAGATACTTTAACTGCATGCACCAACAAATGTGGTCAAAAGATGATGACAGATGGAATAATCTATCACATGAAGAACTAATATGGTGAATAATAAACATAAAAAAAGAAAAATATTATAAAATAATATTATAAACATTAATTATATGTTTTTAGAAATCCTTGGTCTCTAATTAAATAGATTTGGGTATAAAAGATATAAAGATATAATAAGGCTGAGTTGATATTAACCTTTGTTATTCAAGTTGTTCATTAAATGACGTTCCTTTTCGATATTTTCCCGCATAGCTAACATCATTCTAGAATTAGTTTCAAGTTCTACTTCGAGAAATTCCAATCTTGTATGTAAATTTTCCAGTTCAATCTTAAATATTATACTGATGAATAAACTCTATCGAAGTTGCAAAGAAATAAATATAATTAAAGAATAAAAAACTTTAAAATAACTAGGGGAAGAATTCGTAAATAAAATTTAAAATTTCAAAAATCACCAACAAAAGCAAAGCTTTTACAGGAAATATAGAAAAAAATCGAACAACTGCAATAGTGTGTGCAAAGCTGGTGAAGTTTTAAGGATCTTGCTTCTGAACGTGATTAAAGTCGATACGACTATTACAAATTTTTCCAAAAAAAATGAATAACCCGTCCACGTTCATAAATCGCTTTTCTTTCTTGCGCTTTAATATCGATATTTGAATAAAGCAAAACACTTATAAAGATAAATAAACATATCGCTATGACAAATATCAGATCTCGAAAACGATTCCGCATTTTTAAAAATTTTGAATTTCACAACACAAAAGCCTGAAATTTTAAAACTGTTAACAATAAAGTATAAAGTAAAAAAAATATCAGTTAAATTCGTTAAAAAAATCAGAGTTATTTACCGACAAAAGTTTACTTCAAACAAAAAAGTTGAAGTTTATAACAGCTCGCAAATATAAAGTAAAAATTTAAAATACTCTTTGTGTGTGAAATGAATTAAAAATATCACAGACAAGCAAGTTAAGTGGCTGGCAGAAAGCCATATATTCCCAGCACAAAAAAAATGTATAAAAAAAGAACTTCCGCATAATTTTATTAATACTAGATGCAAAATAATAATTAAATTCATTCAGAAAAAAACAAAAATCACAAAAAATATCAAAATTAGAGTAGTCAAGACAGTGGTACTTCCATTGGTTTTATACGGATAAAAGAGTTGACTACAAAAGTAGATAAAAAAAGGGCACTTCTGGATTATGGAAATTACAATGGACACATACAACATGAAACATAAAAATGGCTCTTAGAAAAAATACATCTTAGATGCAGTGTGCAGCATCAGACCTAAGCTAATGCACAGAAACAATTTACAAAAAAAACAAAAATCGGAAACGAGGAGTGACAAGAGGAAGAAATGAAATTAAGAAGGCCGCATAGATCGCATAAATTAAGCACTTTAAAGAAGATAGCAGTAATAAATTAAAAGAATCGACAGCTTTTTATTCGTACTATAATGAAGTTATCTGAAAGAATTTACGAAATACAGTGGAATATTTTATAGAAAATAATGATAACAGACAATAATGAGATTCAATTAAAGAAAGGATTTAATGAATCATTAATTATTAACAAAAAATTAAGGTCAAAACAAACTGAATAAAATAAAGAGCTACGAACTGAATAAAATAACGAAGCACCAAAATCACAAAAAAGTTGCAAGAATCAAATTTGCATTAGGCTTACAATTTGCAATTATATCGTTACTGTGTCGTTGTTTTCGTTTTAGGACAATAAAAGGACAATGACAATTTAATAATTACACACAATGTGTAACCAAACTGTTGCAATGCCCCTTTGTTCGTTGGACAAGATGAAAAGCCATTCCCATACGGAGAAATAATAGGGAATCATTAAGGAAGAAGGGAAATTCGGAGAAAGTACGAAAAGAAATGAGAATATTTTGATAACCTTGAACGAACGAAGAACGGTTAGATTATTCTGTTACCATAACTGAAAAATAGTTTAATTGCAAAATATTTTCGTTGACCCGATTAAAAGCTTTCATTCTAAAATATTTTGATTTTTTAAACTTTAACACTAAAACTCTATAAACTTTACAATTATTTATTTGATAGCAAGGTATCACCCAATCTGAACGGCAATATATTGTTTTATTCGCTGGCTTTAATTACAAAGAGGCACAATGACATTCAAAAAATAAAATTTTTACTTCTAAGTCTAAAAAATATTTAACAATTTCATTTGCTTATAAAAACTGGGACGCATCGTTGGGAATAAACCTTGTAATTAGAAGTAAAATTGCTGGGCATCCACTTGCCTACTGATTCTATCTACTGATTTATTTATTTACTTATTTATTGAAAACCAGCCAAGCAGAGCGCAAACGCCACGTGCTTGTATTAATAACATCAGTTAAAATAACAAATAATAAGAATTAATGTCAAATAACAAAAAATAATAATATTAAAATAAAATAAACAATTTAAATAAAGACTTAAAGATAAATAAAGACAACTTAAAGATGAAATAAAGAGGATATTGCAAAATAATAAAATATAGTACAAATCGAAATAACTGCAATAACTATACTGATTCGGCGTTTATTATGGATATTCAGTCAATTACTCCATCAGATGGACAATTCTCAATTGTAAGAAATACCTTATTTTCAAAAAAGTTAAGCAGGTAAAAGAATCTACCGGGTGAATAAAACACAGCCGCTTGAATTCAGCTATAATTTCACGATATGTTTTCAAAGAATTGCCCACAATGGGAAACCTAGGCCGACTAAGCTGACTAAACGAACTGAGCTGAAAGCCAATTCAAACAACTAGAATTTCATGAGTCATCCTTTTTGCTTTCTTTTTTTCAGCAGTGCAGCGAAAAAGAATAATTCGTTTAAGATGAAAGAACATTAAGCAACAAACTGTCGTGAATACTGGTGAAAGGTAAGATAAATGTTACTCGACGAAATTTCAAAAATTAAATTTGTATAATTCAAGTTGAACTTCATCAGTGATCAGCTTTACATTGCAAAGATAATTTCGACGCAAACTCCGCAGTTAAAATCGTCAGAATCGTGACTTCCAGCTATGCCTTAAAATACTTTTAACCACCTTTTCCGAATTATCTCCCTGTTGCTAAGCATAAATGAAATAAAATATGAAACAAACGAAATATTTTTATGGGGTTTAGTCTTTTTATTTCTAGCCAAATCTTCATGAATTTGTAGCGTCTAAAGGTTTTTAAAATAATTATATAAAGATTTAGTGACGAACGTAAACAAGGAATGGTGTTTTCGCAACCAAAAGAGAAAAGAAGTATCTGATGCTGCAGATCATTGCATATAAATAGGCATTTTTTTGTAATAAGGTCATCTTAGATGTTAAATCAATTAAAATATAAAATATATTAAACTTACGGCGTTTTAATTTACATGCAATCGTTTCTCAAGTAAACCTAAATGTTTGCAATTTAACTAAACTTGGTATAGAAATAAAAAGTCTAATTGGACTGTTCCAAATAAACTTCTAGCTGTACCCGAACGCTTCATAAATTGCAAAGATGTGCTGCTTCCACTGAGGACAAGGAGCGTTAACTCATCGCCGAAATAAATTTAAAATGAATAGTGGTAGGCGAAGTTGGCCAATCAATGAATGGTAGAATGGCAGAAAATGAATTTTAAATATTTTCATCAATAATTATACTGGTTTATCGTCCCTAGCAATCCATTATAATTAAGCAGAATAAACATTTGTTGAATTCCTGACGGGAAGCGCCAACAAAAAGTAGCGCTCTAGCGAATCTCCGCAAAAAATGATCCCATTGCAGAAGTCACCGAGACAAGCAGAAATGATAAAGAAATAGTTGCTAGCTTAAATAAGGGGAACAAAATTGTGTGCATCCGCATCATTCGAGCTCGCAATTTATTGGCCCGAGATATTTATATTTACAAGAGTGAAATAAAAAGTATAATTGAAATAGGTCGGTCTGGTGAAATAGACGAAAATAAAACAGGCGATGCGGCTGCATTCAGAAAAAAAACAATTTTTTTCTCACATTGATTAAATATGATCAAAATAATATTTGGATTGAAGTTACAGTTAAGAATAGAAATTTCTGGAAAAAAGTAGCAAATTCTAGAATACTTAAACGAAAGCAATGTAAGGCTTTATCATGACAATGATTCAGAGCGACTCGTTCAACGCACATTTGAAGAAAATGAATGAAAAAATTTCGAGAAAATATTTTTAAGTGCAATTGGGGAAATCAAAGAGCATATGAATGAATATAACATACATATAGCATAGCTTTGTTCGATGCGTAGTTAAAAGAGAAATTCTTTTAACGAATCACCTAAATATCTATTCATCGTACATAGCTAAATATGCCAGAAAATTTGATAATCGCGATGAATTCTTGCTGATAATCTGTCAGTAATGATCATCTTCAACGTCACTTCTCTAAACATTGCATATTGAAATGAAGCATTTCTATTATTTGCCATAATTCCCAATAAATTTTTAAAATTCAATATCGATAAAATCCGATTAACTGTAATTATTTTTGTGTTTTATTCTTCCATTAAATGAAGATATTTGTATGCTTCGTAATATTCATTATTGAAATAGTTCTATTTGAATAAAAATGGTTTATGGCTTCTTCGATTAAAGTTGGAGATTTTTTCGATTCAATTTTCTGATCTAACAGGAGTGAACCTTCATTTAAAAATATGCTTGGCGATCTTTTATATCTATTTTACATTTATTTTACAATCCTACCTTACCTACTTCATTCTATGAAGCAATTCATGTCACAAGAAAAACTCTAATTTTCCAAATAAAAATTTTCCAAAATATAAATTTTCCAAAAAGTAAATATAACTTCAATATAACCTCTTTCTTCTAAGAGTTACTACTGGCTAGACTCCATTGACAATAAGCTTAAGATGTTTCCAAGCTGTGCAATCTGAAGCATCGTCGACAGCAATAAAAGCCATTCCTTTTCCCATTGACTAAGTCCATACAATGCTAGTCCATCTATACGTTCAAAATCTTTCATGACCGTATCAATCTAGATCTTGATTGGCTGTCATCGCTTTTGACGCAATCCATCATAGGGTTTAACAGGTAACGAAATATGTGTCAATACAGCTTTGAGGCCTGATGTACTTTATATAGAACTCCCAAATTCGCATAATTCTTTTTCAACCACCACATCTCGCAGTTCTTTCATACTTAAAGTCCTCTTCATAATATCTTTTACAACTTTTGAAATTATAAATTAAATAATTAAACCGCAGCAAAAGTGCATTGCAAGATTTCACAAAGCGTTAAGAGAATAAAACGGGAAGGCGTGGTACTAATGAGTTGCAATTAAGCCTGGAAAGATTCGAGTGGTAAACAAGGGTTTAAAATGATTTCCAGCAGATTATAACAGACAAAAGAGTAGAGCGAAGCACTAAGGTTTTAAAGCGACAACCAACGAAGTTTGCAGATGTTCCCATAAAATATGGTTTTAAGGACTTCAGCATGGCGAGACGAGATTTCGCAGATAGTGCAATGAGTTTTTTTTTTTTTTTTTAGAGTAATAGTGATTTACAATGAAAGTACATAAGAATGTTTGGCGGCATATTAGACCATTATAATAGAATCAGAGGAAATACTTTATAAAGTTTCAAGTTACAATAAATTTGGTTTTTATAAAAGAATATAGTTTGTTAAGAATTAGAATAATTTGTAAGGCGTGGATAGTTATCGATATAGTAGAATGCCTCCTAACCAAGCTGGATTCAGACCGGGAAGCGGTTGTGCTGACCAGATTTTTACGCTAAGAAAGCTGCTCGAAAATCGCTTCAAATACCAACAACCCACCATCACTTGCTTTATCGATTTTCCAGCTGCCTTCGATTTGATTGATAGGACAGCGCTCTGGAAAGTGATGGAATGTTACGGTGTCTCAAAGAAGATCATTCGGCTCATAAAGGCATTTTATCAGCTAGCCTGGCGCAGATATGCACATATGGGGAACTGACAGACTCCTTCGAAAAACTGGTGTCCGTCAGGGTTGCGTCCTTTCCCCACAATATTCAACTATGCGATAGACTGGATAATGGGCATCGCTTGTCGGCTCTCAAGAGGTGTGCAAATCAATCCACGGCATCGTATCACAGGTCCTGAATACGCTGATGATGTAGTCCTTTTTGTTAACAAGTATAATGAAATGCAAATAATGTTAAACAATGTGTGAACAATTCCACTAAGAATCAAGATCAACGTAAATAAAACGAAGAAATTTTCCTCTCATATACAACATGCTGATAAAGTACTTATTTTTATCAGTTCATTGCCGGTTGAGAAAGTGCTTGAAATCCTTAGATCCACTCTAATCGCAAATGATCAAGCAAAGGAAGAAATTATGACCTGGGTAACGACAGCCAGAAATATGTAGATTTCCCATTTCCCATTTAGGAAATCTTTATGGAACTGTCACGAAATCACCATAAAGGCGAAAATCCACATCCATATAGCTGCAATTGGCGATCTTGCTATATGGCTGCGAAACATGGCCAATGAGAGTGGAAGATATTAAGAAGCTATTAGCCTTTGACCACTTATGTCTAAGGTATTTTATGGATCCGCCGAGCAAATAAAATCACACATTGTATCCACCTTCGCTCAAATATCACCTGTATAATATTAATAATATTATCACAGAGTATCCCTTCGCTAGTTAGGGCACATCCTTCGTCATCCACCACAGGAATTGACGCATATTCCGCTATTTATCGAACTCTGTGATGGTTGGTATACAGAAAAAAGGTATATAGCACTACGAAATTTTCGTTGGGAGCACGGCGATTCCCCTTCCAGTATTCTACCTTTACAAAAATTCCCTTTGGGAATCCGCTTCACTATATTTTTTCTGCATAGATTTAACTTTCCTGCCACGCGGGACTTTTATTTCTTAATAATATTACAAACTCTGCGGCCAGCGTTCTTTTCGCGTTGCGAACCCTCAAACTTGGGTAATTAAATCTTTATTAGTAAAGACGCAAATACATACAAAAAAACAAAGCGAAGCAATTGCCCTACTACAAAAAAATAATAAAAATAAAATTAAAAGATGTAAATGCCCATCGCTCACTGATCCCTTCCCCACTCGTTTTTCCTAATAGAAGCTTAATTTACTTTTCTTCCTTCTAACAACTCTTACCAGTCCAGTTCTTTATTAGCCCTCCTCACTTTTGGCGCCAACTGTCGCCGAATGGCGAAAAAAGGTGTAAATATGAACAAGTCCGGATCCCCGCCCATCTTAAATCATCACTATCCTTGGCTTCGAGAAAAAAACTTATTTTTAAGTTTAATATAATTCTTTTTTTGTAGATAATTTCTAATCGTACTCCAATTTTGTCTGAAATTTATCCTGAATTTCACATTTCTATATATTTTTTCGTCCAACGTTTCAAAATTTCATTCGCTATTCAGCATCATGAACATCATGAATTTCTGTGATTGTGTAAACAAACACGAAAATAAAGATTTAATAGTTTCAAAATCACAAGTTTTGGAATATATCACAGTAACGTAAAAGAGCAAACACAAAAAACATATAGAAATTTTAAAAAATGGTCATCAAATTTGCAGACTTTAAAAAGCAACCCGAATATATCCCAGCTGAAATTCAACTGCAATCACTAAAAAGAACTTTTTATCGCCGCTTTTTCAAAAGATTGAAAAAATGAAAGCTCAATGGAACATTTTCCACTTCAGTTTTTTTCTTCGTTCCTTTTTAATGATTTCATAATTTTTTTCTATTATCTATTATTTTCTATCCCATTAAAACAACTTTACCACAAATTTTGAAGTAGTTCTTTTCATTTTCTTGTAACTTCCATAACTTTCCCCTTTTTCCCAGCTATTTTTCATAGAATTTCTCTAGATTTCTAATATCAAGCTAGAATTAAACGATCAAACAATTTCAGATGAGAAACCAAAATTATTTACAAATACAAACTTAAACTGCGATTGAGTAGTAGTTCATTAGAAGCTTCAATAACAAAATTTAAAGCGGTAAACTGAAGCGTGAACTGTCCGCATTTACTGAGTCAAAATGGTGCAAAACTGGCTAAAATTAAATTATATAAGTTTTAACATGACATTTTCAATATTAAAAAGCAAAGGAATTTGAAAATATCTTAAAATTAAGAATCTGCTTAAGTGACGAAAAACAATATAAGTGACGAAAATTGGATCACTGTTTCTCATTCGTTAAAAAAATCACCTTCTGAAATTTTTTTGTCTTCGACACAGAAACAATTATATAAATAATTCATAATAATTACAATAAATATAAACAATCCACAGATAAAAATATAGATGGCTTATTCCCTCACAGAAAAAATAAATGGAAGCTTACAGCCGCTGACCCTTCGTAATAACGACTTTGTGTTAAACCATTAAAACGTCTATAAGTGTAATTGGAGAATTCTCCTCTATCACTGACACGCTGTGCGCCAACAACATCGAGTTCATATTCAGCTAAAACCAAAATGAGTTCAGATAACAAAGTCCTCTCTAATTTTCAAAGCATAATCAAATGCACGGCCATAAATTTCAGAAATTACTTTCGAAATTCAATTACAATTCTTACAATTCTTAAAATTCAAAAAATCCGGTAATTCCATAAGAACAAAGATTTAAGTAAGAAGAAAATACTTACGGATACGCAAATCAGCATCAGGAAAATCATCGAAATTCGATGTATCATCGATACTTTTGATTTCAATCCTGATAGGAGCTGGATTCCGCCTAAAATTTAAATACACCTAAATATTTTCAATCGTCTTTTTCCGTGAATAAATGCACACCTTATATTGATCCAATCAATTCCTTTGAAAAATGGGCAAGTTTTTACTTCTTCAATACCACTGTTACTTCCTAAACGTCGCTCCGCATCTGAGCAAAACTTTTTGATAGCCTGCAAAAAATTTAAATGAAATTCAAGACTTGATCAAAAAAATATGAAATGTTGTATAATTAAAAAATGAGGAAAATAATTAACAACTTTTGGAGAAAATATTTCGACTAAAGAAAATGAATAAACAAAGATCTACAGCTTTTGCTTCAGTGGATATAGGCATCTCTGGTGGAAATGTTAAGCTATGTTGCCAGTTCACGACTTTGCGATAAGTTTCTTGTGGCGTTTCAGAACAGAAAGGAGGATAGCCTAAAAATTATTGCACAGTGCACATTATTAGTTTCAAAATTTTATTTTTACCAACCAGTTTTAGTCAAAAACAGAAAGCATTTTTTCTTTTTTACATCCAATTCTCTTTTACATCGTCAAAAGTAGATATTCTCAATAAATACCTATAAGCATCTCATACATGATGACTCCTAGAGACCACCAATCACAAGACTTCGTATATCCATTTGGCTGGAAAATTTCAGGTGCGATATAGTCAGGAGTACCAACAGTTGAGTATGCCTAAACAATTTTCGAACAATTAAGTTATTAAAGACCAAAAACTATTAGATATTCGAAAATGGATTAAAATTCTACTATCGCACGGCGATTTTTCTTCCACGTCTCAGCTTTTCTTTTTGATTCAAAAGGCTTAGCAATAAAATCTTTGGGCAACTGAGTCGGCCAATTGCGATAATACTCGGTGCGATGCGCTTTTTTCAATCCAGTACACAGTCCAAAATCGGACAATTTAATATGACCCTGAAAGAAAAAGATTGAAAAATTTTATTTTTTTACTTATATTGACAAAATTTTGAATAAATAGATACTTATAAACTAAAAAAATAGACGATAGAAATGGAGACCACTGTAAGATCGATATTCTGTAAAAAAAAATCCTTACTTTTGCGTCTAATAACAAATTATCGGGTTTAATATCTCGATGAATGAAATTCATATCATGAATGGCTTGAATAGCAAGTGCTGCCTCAGCGATATAAAACCTTGTGATTTCCTCAGATAATGTGTCTTTCTTGATTAATAGAGTCATCATATCACCTGAAAAACATTTATAATACACATAATATATAAACCTGCCAAAGTCAAGAAAATTAAAATGACTCATAAAAAAATACACCTCCTGGCAAAAATTCCATGACTAAATATAAATTTGTAGGATCTTGAAAGGAGAAAAACATTTTTACAACCCATTCACAATCAGCTTCTGACAGAATATCACGTTCAGCTCGAACATGGGCTGTCTGCAAAAAAGATCAAATAAAAATCGGAAAATTATATGCAGAATTTTATAAATCCTACTTGCTCTTTTTCTAGCATTTCTGATTTCCTTAAAATTTTCATAGCGTATACATGGCCCGTATCGACTTTCTGTACAAGTCGCACCTATAAAATATATGAAACTAAATTCTGTTGAAAAATGATACAAACAAATTTTGAAAAGATCGAAAAGATCTATCGATCAGTTTTTAAAATAATTAAATGATGGCTTACAGCATAACAAAATTTGTAAAAAATATCTAATTTTTGCCGATAGACAGCTAGGCTTCCAGCATCATCCGGAGGGACAGGCCTACACCCGCCAGGAGTAGAAGAGCATCAAGAAATTAGCAGTAAGACATAAGGCCATTCTACCACTTTTTTCTTTCGCCGTTCGGCGACTGTCGATGAAGCGATTGGATTCGAAGTATGGACATATTAACTTATGTTTAAGAAAATATAAATATATCTTGAATTCCTATAAAAAAAATAATCTTTTGATAAAATCTTTTGAATTTCACTGTTTTCACTTAATACTCGTCATCATTATTTAACAATCTTATAATTTACAATTGTGTCCCGCAGAATATGGTTTGGTTGAGCTTTAAAATAATAAATGATAAAATGGTGGAAGGTCTTTTTAGAAGCTATAACTGGGCTTGAGAGAGTTAAGAATAGTTTTACTAATGGACTGCCGCAAGAATAAAACGAGACTTTCGAATTTTCAAAGGAACATTCGAAGGGAAAAAGCTTTGCATGAAATATGGAAGATTTTAAAAGGTACCAAAGGTTTCAGTAAAACGAGTTGCGATCTCGAAAGCACAACGATGGGTTATAAGAGGCATTAGAGGATTAAAAAAACAGCATGAAAGGCTGGATGCTACGTGTAAAGAGATTGGTTAATATAAGAATTCAAGGAATAATTTTGATAAAAGGATACGAGGAGGAGTTCGACTGAATGTCAAGAGTAAGATACAAAGTTAGAACGGATTTTGAGGAAATTAGTGGGATATAACAGGACCTGAAAGGCATTTACTGTATCTAACAGGATACTCACAGTAAGAGTAAAGGAGCATTGCGGGTGGACAGGGTGGGCGCTAAAGAAAAATGAGCGAATCCATGATGAAGGAACAAATTCTGGAGAAAATGATTTTTTGCGAACAAATAGTGAAATAGCAACACATATACCAAAATAGCAAAATATTGAGCAGACTGTTGAACAATTTAATTAACAGGGATAGGATAGTCGAGTGGAGTGAGTTGTTTCCACTAAGATTAACCCATTCAATTCTTCCTTCATTGACTGGAGCAAATATATCACTAAATATAAAATGTGTATGATGCTAGAGATTCATGTACTTCTGTTACTTCCTAATGAAAGGAACCAACTCTATTGACCAATGGATCATTATTGCTAACTAGATGTTCACTTTCTACAAGTCAGAATGAGATGTGGGAAATCTGCCATATTTTCTGCAAAAATTTTTCTGTGATGCATGAGTGGCATATTGCTTCAAAAAGATTAAGTATCACAATCCCTATCCTTCGATGATAGAAAACATGTAATCAAAAGTGAAATTAGATGATACCGCGTTAGTGGGAATTAGGTGGAAATTTTTCAATCAGAGGTAAAGCGGTCTTCATACAGCCAGCTGAACCAGAAATACTGAGTGCTGATAAAAGGAAAAGAATTATACATATAAAAATTGAGAGACTAACCTCACCGAATGCACCTCTACCAATAACTTTCAACGATGTAAAATCAGAGGCGGTAAGCCGAGTCCTTTTTAAACGGAGAAAATCTGTTTCTTTTGCCATATGGGCTTTTCGCCGTTCATTCTTTTCATCTTCATTTAAGCCTAAAATAATTGAACTTTAACATGAATATAAAAAAAAATCGATGGAATGACAATTTAAAAAAACCCTCAGTTGCCATTTTTTCTTCTAATTTTCGTAAACGATTTTGTCTTTCTTGACAATGTACAAGCGATTGTGCATAAAAATTTTCAATAATAAGTCGTGTTCGGTTTGCACGTTCAAGTGTATATTGCGATATATTTTGATTGACCGGAATCATTGCAACACCAGTTGACATCACCTGAGAATTATTTCATTTATTTAATTCTAATTTGAATTCACAAAAAAGAGGAGAGAAAAGGTACAAAAATTTAAGTAAAATCTCGCCAAAGAAAACTAATGAGAACGAAAACAGAATTCTACTGTGAACTTGATCAAGGAATCTCAAAAAATAATCCCAAATGGACAGGCAAAGGATGAAATCGTAACTCGGATAACGACAGCTAGAATTATTTTTCCTATTGATGACACCTTTATGAACCGTCGCAAAATCATCATAAAGACGAAAATCTACGTCATATAGCTGCAATTCGTTCGATCTTACTATATGGTTGTGAAACATGGCCAATGAGAGTGGATGATATTAAGGAGCTGCCAGCTCTTAACTACTCATGTCCAAGACACATTTTACGGATCCGTCAAGTGGATAAAACTGCATATGATTTTGTCCATCTTCGCTCAAATATCACCTGTATTAGACCTGGACGAGTATAGTCAGGAAAGAACATATATGGGGACCAGCGATATATGAACTTAGCCGTGCCGGTGGAAAAAGAAATGGCTTCTATTACTACTAGCGATGGCGTCGGACTGGGCAGCTTGGAAACGTCTTACTCTTATAATTCGTTAACGGTCAATTCTCAATTCTGTTCACACACTGACAAGAAGCTCACCATAAAGCTCGCACCAACACTTATTCATTCAATCTCTTACGAAAGATCACATTAACAACCATTTCATCAGTATTGTACGCAGGTTTCCAATCTAATTTTATAAGTGTATGAAAACGTTCCCATGTTATTTTTTAGAAATCAGCTTTCATTCATTTAAAACAATGACTAGGGAGGACTTATAGTTACGTTCTTGGATTAAAATAGCATGTATTAACAAAAACAAAAACAGTTTGTGTGAAAACGGTGATTGCAACATCAACAAAAAAATACACTGTATTCTTTTACACAGGGAAAAAAAATAAAAATATATGAAGGGAAGAAAGAAGAAATAGGAACAAATAAATAAGTAACGAGGTTGTAAGGAGTCAACGATAAAACATTTATAAAATAAGATGTAATAGGATGTAACTATTCCGAAGTTTATACAAGTATAAATCTTCAAAATAAAAATCGGACCGTGTTTGATTCTTCTTAGCCTTATAGAATCAAGGTTGCACAAAGGTTTTAGTTTCGATTTATAAGTGAATCAGGAATCAGGATTCAAGCGACGCACGTAAATCATGCTTCTGTGAATCTTCACTTAGTTTAATCGGTTTAGAGAACTTCAGCGAAAAGCATAACACTATATTCCAAATGTGGTTGAAAATATATAAAATATATATATATTTATAAATAAATATATTTTGTACATATTAATATAAAAATTTGTTTCCAAAAATTCTGAGGATGAGATTCAAAATTCTAGAGGAAATATCGAAAATATTTTGGCAATGTACTCAAAGATTGGATGGGATTTTCATCAATTACTGATCCCAGACTGGAAGAATATAATCGACAATAAGTAATGATGGCAAATCAGTGGCCTTAGCATTAATACGCAAGATTTGACATTTATTTGTCAAAAATTTACGCATTTTAAAGGCTGATGAGATTTGATGGAAAAGGTGGTTCTTACTATCATCGGCATGAATCAGTTCGTTGCATAATTATGTCGTAACTTTTATTAACTTCATCGGGCTCCACTCTGCAACACTCGGCAATCTCAATCTGCTCCAGTGAATATGTCTTGAAAAGACTGCATTTACTAGAATCTCGTTAGCACGTCAATCGATTTCGGCATTCTCCGTCTAATATGACCTTGCTAAAGATGTTTGTTGTGGCCGAAGTAAACGTTGATCTATTTCAGACAGTTCAAATAAAAATACCACTTAATTAAGGAACCAACTACACATCCAGAAAAAGACAAAAAAACGGTGAACTATCCACATCCACAATCCACTCCGATTCCATGATAGATGGGCCGAAGTTTAGAGGTTCTTCATAATTTCGCAATGAATCTTAAGCTGAATATTAGAAATCATACATACCGGCAAACTGACGGCCAGTTTAGTGCAACTGGTTATGCTCGTTTACCAGTAAGGGAAGGGGGTGTTCAACAGAAATTTTGGATGAAAGTTTTTTGTTGGATTTTTTAGAGAATTGTCAGACTGGGTAATATAGGATGAATATTCGTGTAGCAAAAGCTGACGATCTTCTTAATACACAGCACTGCAACTTACTTTGTCTTCCTGAAAATTATCAGATGAAATATTATTTTTATCATGCATTATCATGGCCGCAGTTATCATACGTCGCTGATGATGAAAAGGTTTTCTTTCGATAATTTTTTTTTGTGTTTTACTTATTGTTCTTATTAAAGAAGTTTATAATTACTTTTATGCACATTGAATGAGCTCGCTTCACTGACCGCAATTATCAGACCTCTATGTCAGATTTACTTTCTAAAAATAATAGAATCTATTTCCACTGTATAAATCACTAAACGCCCTGTTGGTTCAAATAGTTGCAAGCCGTAATTTGTGAAAGTTATAATGAAGGTGACGGCTGATATTGGGAGAATACAGCTGGACTTTAAATATGTTAAAATTCATCGGGACTTATTTATCAGTACAGTGCATCAAGGTTTCAGTGGATGTTGGAGCAATGAATTTTAAGGATAATTTAGAGAATAAACGAAGGTTATAAAGATAGCTGACCTGTCTATCGAGCTTTTCATTAGTCAAACATAAATAATTAGACTTCATTTGCTTTTCAAAAAATTTAAAACTTTAAAAATTTGCAGTTAAAGATATTCTTTCGGAGGATTTTATAAAACATTGTATTTAATAATAATCGAAATTTTCCATTTTTGCGAAAATAACTCACTTTAGGGCAATATTGTTGGTTACGTTTTGGCAAAAATGGAAGAGGAAACAGATGATGAGCCGCATGGTCATATAACATCATTAGCTGTGAAGAGGTCATATCGACGTTTGGGTTTGGCTCAAAAGCTTATGGATCAAACAGCTCGTGCTATGATCGAAACATTCAATGCTAAATATGTCTCACTGCATGTTCGTGTTTCGAATCGTGCTGCTTTAAATTTGTACCAGGTAATACTTTTAAATATTTTTTTGAATTTTATTTCATACTTTTCTTTCATTTTTTCAATTGCCTTCAGATTATTTATCCATTTTTTTAATCGATTTTGTTTTAAATTTCCATTTTTTTTAGAATTTTTCCACTCTTTTCATTTTTTAATTTTTTTTACAAAACAATAACTCTGTTTTTGGGATATAATTTTCAAGGTTAAAAGTTTTTTTATTTCTATTTTATTTAACGTTTTTTTACTTCGTTATTTTTAAATTTAATTCGAAAACGCTAAAATGTTGTACTTATATTTTTTTTACAAACTGTTCATTCATCTATTCATCTAAAAGGTTTAAAGAAATATGGCGATGTCGGAGATTGTTAGGGGTATACCGGGGCTTGACGAGGGTATTTAGCGAATTTCATTGCAAGTCAGTTTTTCGGTATTAATTTTTATGTTTGTGTTCGTATTTTACCCCAAGAAAAGTATTCAAAGCATAAAAATAGAAAAAAGTTGATTTTATGAAAAAATTACTTATTTCAGAACACATTAAAATTCGAGATATCCGATGTTGAACCAAAATACTATGCGGATGGTGAAGATGCATATGCTATGAAACGTTCATTGATAAAATTCGCTGTGGATAACAATATCACACCTGCTGATCGCAAGTCGTTTTTTAGCGCAAAAGATGATAAAGAACACTCAAGGAGACAAAAAAATCAATAATTAATGATTGTGAACTTTTTATAATTCCAATAAACTGCAGTTTTCATTGCCTAGAATTTTTCTTAATTGTAAACCTGATTCGGTAATATATTCCCATAAATTTTGAGAAAAAAGGAGGTAAGACGACGAAGGTGATATTTTTTGCAAAAAATAGACGCATTACTTCTTAATTTTATTTATTTTTATTAAGTTTGGATTTTTTTTGTTTATTTATAGTAGGCTTGTTATTTTCTTTGAGGAACTGTGTTTATATTCTATGAGCTTTATTATTTATTGGTTTTTAACACTGAAATCATGGTAAGCTTTACAAATCTAAGCTGATTTTTTGAATTGTTTAATCGAGTGTGCATCATAAATACCGTAGTTTGAGCAGTAATACTTTTAATTTTTTTTATTAAATGATTAAAATTTTTTTAAATTTTTATGTTCGTTTAACATAACACAATAACTTTCTTTTTCATAAATTTGTAAATTTAATTGTTATTCACTGTACAAACTGTACGAATCTTACAGCCATGCACTTGAATTCACATTATAATGTGGCTATAAAATATAGGAGAAGACGGCTGTTGTTACGCAAAAGTTAGTTTAAACACAAGCACCAAAGAAACACGTCAGAATGGGTTATCAAATTTGAATTTATATGTTTGTTTCGACTTAACATTTATGTCGAGATTTTGTAGTGCCATCAATATTTTTCAAACAATGCAGTGATATCAAATTCTGATAATTGGTACGAATGGAGAAATTATGACTTTTTGGCTTCTGCAAATAGGTTTTAACAACTTCAGGGGAAGTTCCAAGCAGAGCAGAGGTGATACCACGGCGAATCAAGGGACACAAAAAACCTCAGGAACTATCCAACACATAGTGGTAAGATGTAAAATGCAAGCAGGAAAACAGCAAACATAGTAAAGCAAAACTATAATGCCACTGTCTATAGAAATCTGTTAAGCATATATATATATATACATATATATATATATATAGCTTAGACGTTCTCGAGGCCAGATGGGAGATCCTTCCAAAAAACTGCAAAGAATAATAAGGACTTCCTCATCCAAACAGGTAAAAACTGCCCAATCAATCAGATATCGTATACAGTAACCAGAAACACTGGTGATATATATATATATATAGCAATACCAAGTGACAGGAAGAAACATTAGGAAGAAAAAATATAAGATGAGGAAATATCAAGGGCTGTGTAAAAACAGTAGATTAATAACTGAAGGCAGTGGAATGATGCCACTCTTTAATATTTTAAAAAAAACTTGCTCTGGACAGTAGTATTGAAATTGATCACCACACGTATTTATAAAATTTCATTCTTCATTTCTCACCTCAGACTTAAATAATTAAACCTCATTAATCTATTGATAGAAAAAACTATTCGATATGAACTAAAATCAAAGACTAAGAAAACAAAAACAAAAGAAATGAACAAAAACATAAATTATAAAACAACAAAAAATGTATATTCGAATCTTCAAATGTTGGGACCCAACCGTTGATGGGTTCTCGATGGTTCCACATTAAGAAAAGAGTAATTTTCTAGAAAACCATAATCTTTTATTGACATATGGAATGGAATAAGCAAAGAGTCCATTAAGTTAATGAACGTTTTCTTTTGGCGGCTCAGGGTCACCAGTTTGAAATAATAATTTTAGAAAAAATATCGCATTTCGGGACAGCGCTGTTATGAAATGACCAATAGCTAGGATCTACTGATATGCGTGATACGTTCTTTTCTGCCAGTTGGATCGTGATATCTTTTTAGCTGGAATCAATATTCATGGGCTGTTTTAGGATATGTCACTGATATTTATATCAATGAGTTGTTTCGATAATTCTGAAATGCGCTTTCTGTAAGTAGTATTAGACATTTAATGACGAGCTTATTCCTCTCGCAAGCAGGGCGTTCGATCCTTTTTTTTGGCTCCTCAATATAGTAATCTGTGCTACTATCCATTTAGCTATTCTGCTTCCAGTACTGTTGAATGAAGATAGGAAATCTTAGAACCAAAGTGATACCTTTTTTTCATTCATAGCATTAACTACTGGAATAAATTAGGTAATGATGTATTAATTTTTATTAATTTCTACACCCTCATTAACTAGTTTTATAAAATAGATTAAATAGAATAACCTTTAGCGATATTCTCACTCTATTTTGGCTATATTTTGCTCATCTTTTTATTACGTTAATGTTCTAAGTCTAAGTCAAATTTATGAGATTATTTAGTAGTAAAATAAAATAATAGTAACACGGTAAAATTGACAAAGCTTTCTAAAATTCAAAAAGAGAAAAATAAGATTTTAACAAAGCTTTTCACATCATAAGCAGTCAACAATATGCAAATCACAAAATTGTTTTTCTTCTTTTTTTGTTCACGCATCTGTTAGCTACTTTGTAAGGCCATCTTATTTGCATATCAAACAAAAAAAAACCATGAGAAAATTTTCTTTTGAATAAAATAAATTAATTTTTATGTAATTTTTGATTTACCAATGTTTTGGAGGAACCACCCAGATTTGCAAAGGAGAATCTGTGTTGGATCGACAATATCAAGAATCGCCTTCGCGTTGCTTCATCGCCCTTTTTTAATTAACTATTCGCTTTGAATATATTCTTGAATATCTTTTACTTCGAAACTATTAAATGCCTAATAATAAACCGTATTTTTTTTTTAATAAATATTTCAATTCACGCTCGCAATAGTATATTCTTTTTCGACATCAATAATATGAGTATAAAACATTACCAATGATTAATGCAAAAACATTCTTATTCCATGGTTAGTTCATTGGTTTTTATGTAGTTATTTTGCCATTATTGTCATTATTTTTAGTTCTTTTATTTTTTCCGATATAGATTTTCCTTTCTTTCCAATTATTTTATTTTTATGTGATTATTCTGCATATGGAACTTTGTCTCAAAGGATAAATAAAAAAATTTTCGTTAAATATCGATAATTTTTGAAAAAAAATACACGATTTTCCATGCATTTAATAAAAAGTGTTATGATATTTATTGGAATTGAATGTAAATTTCCTATTGCATTTATCCCAAGAGATCAGTAAATGAAAGAATCTCGACAGTTTTAAACTAATTTTGAAAACACTAAAAACTATTTATTTATTTGAAGCAACAAAGCAGGGCGACAAGCGCCATGTGATTATATTAGTAACAAGAAAATAAGGTCAATGAAATAAAATTAGTGAGCGAATACAAATAAAGATATATGATAAAGATATACAAAAAAACTAAAAGCTAACGACATAAAGAGAATTAATACAATAAAGGGGAACTACTCAAGTCCAAATGAATGTGTTACTGACACATATTCGGATGAAAAATGATCAAAATTTCAAATTACCTTCATAATTGAAACTTTTAAATAATAAGGTATTATTTAATCATTTTTTAAAAAAAATTAAGGATGATATCATTTGGCAGCTTATTCTAATTAAAAATACGAATAAAAAACTCAAGCACCCTTAGTTCAGTTTTACATTTATGTTTTAACAATTTTAATCCAATAGATCTTGCTGGGTTCAAATCTAATCTAAAATACATTTTGAACTATCTAATTCGACATAACTATATAGAATTTTATACGTATAAACTAAATCTTGTTTAATTCGACGAATTGCGAGTGAGTCAAGGTTGTATAATTGAAAGTGCTTTATAATTGAGATTGTTCTTTTTTCAACAGCTCTCACCATTAGTGGTTAGGTCAGCTCTAACGGCTACAAGAATCTCCAAGCTGCTCGGTCTGACGCCATCACTAGTAATAATAGAAACCTTTCCTTTTTCCATCGTCTAAATCCATATTTTGCTGGTTCACCTATACATTCAAAACCTTTCCTGATCGTATCAGTCCAGGTCTTAATTGGCCCACCTCGCTTTTGACGACACCCATCACACGATAAAAAGTAACGAAATATGCGTAAACTCCTGTGACGGAGAACGCGCCTTAACCAACTAAGGCGACGCTCTATGATAACGTTATTAATGTAAGTGGTATATGAACAAAGGTGGATGGATACGATTATGTGATATTTTATCCGCCCGACTGACCCGTAAAATATATTGTGTAAAATATATTGTGTAAATATAAAATATAGAGTGGTCAAAGGTAACTTTTTAATATCCTCCACTATCATTGGCGAAATCTCAGAGCCATATAGCAAGGTCGAACGAATTACGGCTATATAGATGCGGACTGGACTTTTGTTTTCATGGTGATTTCACGGCTCCATAAAGGTTTTGTCAACCGGTTGCCTGGCTATTTGATATTAAATTGGACACAAGGTATTTAAAGCGGGCATTTCCTCAACAGGCAATGAATTTATAAAAAGAGGCATTTTATCAGCTTCTTGCAGATGATACGAAAAGACTTTCGTTTTATTTACATTGATCCTGAGTCCGATTCTTGCTGCAGTTGCTAACACGTTATTTAGCATTATTTGCATTTCGTCATAACTTTCAGCAAAAAGGACTACATCATTAGCGTATTCAAGATCTGTGATACGATGCTCTGGACTAATTCGGACACCTCTTGCCGACAAGCGGCGTCCATTATCCAGTCTATCGCATAGTTGAATATTGTGGGAGAAAGGATGCAGCCCTGACGGATATCTGTTCTTATTTCGAAGGAATCTATCAGCTCCCCATATACACAGACCTGCGTCGACGTGCGCTCATTAAATGCCTTTATGAGGCTAATAATTTTCTCTGGAACACCGTCACGTTCCATCATCCTCCAAAGCGCCGCTCTATCAATTGAATCAAAGGCCGCCGCAAAATCAAATGAAACATTTGACGGTGAGTTGCATATATCTGAAGCGATGTTCCAACACCCTTCTTAATGTGAATATCTGGTCAGCATAACCGCGTCCTGGTCTGAAACCAGCTTGATTAGAGCGCATCCTGCTGTCTCGTACTTCCCATAAGTCTGTTGAGTTGCAGGGAAGCAAAAGACGTTTTTGCTGAGACGTCTAATAGGCTGATTCCTCGATAATTGTCGCAATATCACCTTTCTTGAGAATTGGGAGCAGAATTGCTTTGCTCCAATCATCTGGTAATATTTCTTTTTTCCGTACTAAAGAGCACATTTGTTGGAGGTGCCTTATGAAGGACAACGGACACCATTTGAAAAGCTCAGCCCGAAGACCATCTTCTCCTGGAGTTTTGTTGGCCTTAAGCTTATGGATAACTGAAATTATTTCTTCTTCTGTTGGAGACTCGCAATTGCAAACGTATGCTTCGGCAAACGTACCAGCTACATTAAGGGGAACGGATGGCGCTTCATGGTTAAGTTTAAGTAATGAAAACGGAAAATGACAATTTCTGTGGCAGGCGACGAAGAACCTAACAGCGAAGGCGACGTGAAATGTAAGCGTTTGAGCGAAGGTGGATGTAATCATATGAGGTTTTATCCGCTCGATGAACCCGTAAAATGAATATTTGAACATGAGTGATCAAAGGACGATAGTATCTTAATATCTTCCTCTCTCATTGGCACCGCAGTCATACAAGATCAAACGAATTGCTACATGGATGCAGACTTTAGTTTTTATGGTAATTTCGCGACGGCTTCGTCAACAGGAAGAACACATTTCTAGCTATCATTATCCGAGTTGCAACTTTGTCTTTTGTTTGGGATTAAAATGGAAGACATTTAAAGTCTGGCACTTCTTTAACTAGCGGTGAATTTATAAAAATAATTTTGACAGCTTCTTGTATGTAAGATGAATAGAACTTTCGTTCTATTTACATTGATCCCGAGTCCGATTTGGCTGAAGTTATTGACACATTGTTTAGCATTATTTGCATTTCTTCATAATTGGCAGTAAAAAGGACTAAAAAGACTACATCAGTGTATGCAAGATCTGTGACACTGTATTGGCCTTAAGCTTATTGATATTGTAGGAGAAAGGTCAACCTTGATAAAGACCAGTTATTTCGAAAGAGTCTGTCAGCTTTCCATATACCACAGGCCTTAATGAAAAAAATGTCTTTATAAGTCGAATGATTTTTTCTGAAACATCGTCGCATTTCCGTCACCCTCTATAGTGATGATCTATCAAATGAATCGAAGACGGCTGCAAAATTGATGAGAACGCTCAGTTGTCGACATATGAAGCGTTGTTTCAACATCCTTCTTAATATAAATATATATTCAGTATAATATAAATATAATCTATAATATTCTTAATATAAATATCTATTCAGCCACCTTGCCCGAATCCGGTTTGACTGTCATGAGTCAATTGAATAGGAGGGAAACGAAAATTTTCGCAGAGATGTCTAGCAGACTTATTTCTCAACAATTGTCACTTGCCACCTTTTTTGGAAAGTGAGAGAATCGGTCTGTTGCAGTTATCTGATATTATTTCTTTTTTCCAGTTCAGAGAGTATATTTATTGAAGGTGCGTTATGAAAGATGATGGATAACATTTGAAAGGTTCGTAAACCATCTTCTCCGAGAGTTTTTTTGTCCTTAAGTTTTTGAGTGAGGGCTTAATTCTTCCTTCGTTGGCGGGTTCGCTGTTGCAAACGTAAGGTTCGGCGAGCAAATCAGCTATATTCGGGGAAACAGATGGTGCATTATGGTTAAGTTTGGCCTTCCTTTCCATCTTACGAGGTGATCCTTAATACTCTTAACAGGCACGCCATTGCTATCTTGTATCATATCACTGAACGTTCCTCAAGTTATATATGCTTCAATTTCAAGAAGGCGGAATAATTTCCTATTATCACCTTATCACGCCACCATCTCCATTTCCAAAGCCATATCACTCCAGTAATTTCTGTCCCGTTGAGCTATCGTTGTAATTATTTGAAGCATCCGATTGTCAAGGCCTCTTAACATTCGTGTTAAGAAACTTAGTTTAGCGTTTACAGACAATTGAACGATTGCTTCCGATACCCAGCATTTCTTATTAGTATACTTTAGTATGGAAGTGGCTGACTTTTTTAAAGGCTGAAGTCTCTTTAATTGGGACCAGTATTCATCTGCTGTTCCAGAGATATCATTGATATTCATATCATTTCAACAATTCAGCTACGTCTGCTGTTACCGAACCTTTTAGTTTTAGATAGTTAAAGATCTTGGAAGACGTCGTTTCTTGAGTTGTCAGTTTTACAGTTGAATCTTGTCTCGAACTATAGCATGGTCTAATCCATGAAGATTTCAGCGCAACGACAGGAAAAACCATCTAGTACGGAATTCTTTTAGCTGCGACTGACTAAGATATAATCAATATGGTAATTGGAGCACTGGTTACGTAGTTCCAAGTAACTAGACGTCTTCAAGGCCGGAAGTTAGCAACAAAAAATTCATGCTCTCCGGTATAGTGAAGAAGGCGTTTCCCATTGGCACTAGCCCCTTGTGCCATATTCGCCAATTATTAAGTTTATCGTGGCGGCATCGTGACTACGCGTGAATTTCTCCCTCTCCCTCTACCATGTCAACTATTGTTAGAGATGTTGTTAATAGTTGACGCTCCACATAGAACTTATCTGTTGCGAAATGCGATGTTTTCTATCATTTCAAATTTATTATTTCAAACTGGTGACCCTGACTCGCCAAATAAAGCCTTTCATTGTCTTAACAATTCTTCGCCTTCACATATGTCAATAAAAGATAAAGATCAATTTGTAGCAGATATTGTGTATTCCTCCAAAGAAATCGTTCTTCTTCCCTCATTTTGGTGCCATTAAGACATCCGAGCGGTTGGGTCAATGTTCTTTAATATTCAATGCATTATGCTTTGTTATTTAACATCCATTGCATTATTATTGTTTAATTATTTTATTACTTAATCATTTTTTATTTGTTTTGATAGTTATCTTCTTACTCTCTTTAGTTTAATCGAACTTTTTTCTCTATCTATATATTAATTGGTCTAATTGCCCAAGTTTGACGTGACGAATAAAAAAATTTTTATTGATAATAGCAGTGATCTGTATCTATTCTACTGTCCTGATAAAGTAACCGGGTCAAGGTTATTCTAAAATAGATAAAGCGTCGCAGGCGAGCGAAATCCCACTGCTTTCAAATATTATTAACTATATTTTCTATATTATATCGCGCTCATTTGCGCACTAATACACTAATACACTAATGATCGAAATATTGCAAAACTTTTCTTTGAAGCGATGTAGGTCATACGGTCATTTACGGGCTTCTGCTCAATCAGAGCATCAGAGTCGATGGAGCTTTTTCAGATAAGACAATTACTAGGCCATTTTGCCCCGAATTATGTGAAACACCACAGTATATATCTTTGCTCGGAACTAGGTTAATTTAATAATTAATCGAGAGAAAGAAGACGGACCTCCGAAAAACAAGCCATATCCGTGCGGTATTTAGAAAGGGTGTGGACAGTGATCGCTTGGCTTGCAACATTCATAAGTGTTCCAAGCAGTTATAGCCAGCATCTTGTCGTACTTACGCACTTGGAGGATAGGTGCCTCCCTTGACAGGCTTTGATACGCCCGGATCGTATATTTATCGTATGTACCACCGGTCAAAAGTACCATGCGCGTGAAAAAACGCGGACGCCGCGTCGAAGAGACCTGACCCTTTTACCATACAATCTTTTAGGGATAGAGATATAGATGGGTCCCCAGCAGCCATCCGGATTTTTGATGTCATGGCAGATCTACTTGTCATAGACAAAAAATAGAGAAAATTAAATTTAAATTTAAAAAAAAGAGAAATTTAAAGGTAATCTTAAGAAAAAAACATCTGATTCGTAGAAGCAAATAATACTATTACCTAATAAGAATGGTATATTACGTAATAATAATATGTAATAAATAAAATTATGAGATGATAATATAATAAAATCAAACGATAAATTCTTCTATTAATTTATTGATTAATGAGCAGAGTACCTTTTTGACACAACCGTTCATAGAACAAACAGCCAATGATTTTTTATGGCTTAGACCACCCAAGGCTAAATGGGAGATTCCTTAGAAAATCACAGAGAATAATAAGGCGAAGACTGTGGGACTTCTCCATCCAGAATTATAATAGATAAGAAACAAAAATCAGCACTGCTGATAGATATAGTAACACTAAGTGAACAGGAACGTCAGGAAGAGTGAATATGAGAAGTTGGAGAAATACTAGGTACTGAAAAAGGAAATAAAGAAAATATGGGAAGTGAAAGCCAAAGTAATTCCAGTGATAATTGGAATACTTATAACTGTGACTCCTAGATAAGTGGCAAAAGTCAACAGATTTCAGGAACAGAAAAGGTACTGCGTATCAATCTCCTAGGTCTCTGATGAAAGACCCAAGGTTGAGGGTAATCATTGATACCCATAGAGAATGAAAATGATTTTTCTATTTTTTTTTAAAAGAATATATGAACAGTATAGTTTTAAGAAAAATTTTTTATAAAAACTTTTCTTCTAAACTTACTGTCTTGATATAAAACTTGACTGTCTTGACTGCCTTGATCTCTTCGCCTGTTCTTGATAGGAGTAAACCTATCCTTAAAATCAAATGCGGATAGCTCCTGAGGACATGCCTGCATCGCTGTCTCAAACTGATTATATGGCGAATGGATCAAGTAAACTGCAGTGTATCTATGTAGACCAACAGCATCCTCTCCCTAATCCTGAAGTACATAAGGTAAATATGCGAACAAACCTTGGACATGATAGTATTAAAAACGGCTATATAAATTCAAGCTGAGGAAATTCTTTTATCCCATCTAAAGAAATCGGACAAATGCCACCTGGCTCTGTATGCATACAGCGAGGCCGTAGCTGCACTAGAACACTTATAGGTTTTGAAACAATAACCATCCACATACAATCCAAATATCGTGTGGATACTGTTTGCCTGTTGGAAGTTCTGGGTTGAGGGCACTCACTATACCTGGTTCGATTAATTATTGGCTTATTACAGTGATGTTTTAAATAATTCAGATCGAAATGAAGTAGCCATTGCCATGTCCCAAAGAAACTATTGTCGTGGGTGATTGAAATGTTTTGTCACCAATAAATGCTTTTAGCATTACAGATGACATATAGTTACGTAGAACTCGCCAGACAATATTCGAAAAAGATTGATTATATTTTGACCAATCGCCAGTGGAAGAATGTTGGGTAATGGGTAGTAGTGTTGGGTAGCGCATATCGTGGTGCTGAAGATGACAATCTTCACGGATTCGACCATGTTATGGTTAAAGATAAGATCCGAATGGAATTGATAAGACTGAAAATACAACGTCCACTGAAATCTTTTGTTTATCTCACGTTAAAAGATTTGGGGGGCAGGCAACACAATTAATTCAAACTGAGGTGCCTAGAGGACCACTCTTGGAACTGCTTAGGAGCACTGGTCTCGATTACAGTGCCTCCAGCTGAATCATTCATTGGCATACACTTATAGACAGAGAAGGTAAGCCTTCTCAGATGAAACGAACCATCTTTGATTGCGCTAAGAAATTTTCTTAAAATCTTCAAATACTATAACAATCCACCTTAATACACCTGCAAATGTTTATTGGTGTAAGAGGAGAAGCAAACGCCATGTAATTGGAGCAAGGTAATACAGCTTCCAATTCTCAAGAAAGATGATAGGACTCACTGTAGGTAACTATCTAGGAATCAACTTGGTAGATGTTTCTAGGAAAATTGTTTCCTCTCTTCTGCTGAAGAGATATTGCATGATAGTAGGATGCTCTTTAAATAAGCGGATTTAAGCCAGGACAAAGCTGAAAAGGATGTTGGAATAATGTCTTTGGAACAATTTCTTAACAATTTCTTAATATCCACAACCCATCATGCTTCATCAACTTTGCCTTTGATTCGGACAAAGGGTCTGGTAAGTCATTCAACATGATTCCAGAGAAATTAATATTACCATATTATCATCATCAGTCGAGTCAGAGCAGGTTGCAGGTTGTATGAAGTGATCAAATTTTGAAATATCGATGTGCTTCAACACTCGTTTATAGATTGGACTACAGACACCGCTTTTTGGCATTCGAATTAAGTCTACAGATCAGTCCAGAGCATAATGCCAAAGATCTTCAATACGCTGATGATGCCATTTTCGCTGATAGTCATGAAAAATTGCAATGGACGCTAGACTGGGTGTCGATTGCAACAGCGAAAACTGGCCTTCAAATCAATGTAAATATACCACAAAACTCTTAAATGATGCCAGACGCCGATAAGATTGTCATGAAAAATTTTGTTAATTCAGAAGGAGAAAATTTTTGAAAGAAGTACTCGTCGACGGTTTCACGAATTGGACTTAGAATGTACAGCTAGTTGTAAGTTTTATTATTGCCCAGATACCAATATAATAGAACGACGTGAGAAGTAATATATAGATATTAATATAGAGAATTGAAGAATAGAAAGAAGGACATGTTGCTAAACTAACTCGTGAAGGACATTGCGTCAAAACTGACACCAAGAATAACGCAAACGATGAACTTTGAACTCGAATAAAGCAAAAGATGAAAAACTGACCCTTGGTACCATTCCTTGTGGTACCATTCGTTTATGTAAGGAACGGGGATGGAATGGCTCAGTGGGTTGTTGCTCAATTGGGAGCACCGATGTTTGATTCCTCGAGTAAATCTGCACAAAAATTCGGATGATGCTGCCGATTCACCTGTATTTCTATCGCCAAGGGACTCCAATGGCATACTGCCCAATGCGACAAGCAAGTGGAGCTAGTTTAACCAGTAATGGTGAGGATTCTTTTAAAAAAAGAAATGTGTAAAGAGATTTTTTTTAATAGTCAGGCATAAAGATCTTTATAAATTGACAGTATTCTCACAACTATAAAAGAAATTTACATATAAAAAACCGGATGTACAACTTTCCTTTCTCATTATTGTATACAAGATTTATAAGATTTACGGAAATCAAAGAAAAGCATTTTTTAGATGAACGGAAGATTAGATAGCTAACTCATGAATTTGCATATAAAATCGAAAGTATGAGAAAACGCTTATTATTTCGGATTTTCCGACAAAGATCACAATTCATATAATGGCCGAAAAAGTGCCTTTAAATATCTCTCATGCCTAATTTCCAGGTGACAGATGAAATTTCAGCTCAAATAACTGAAGCCAGATTTGCAAAAACTTTCTGGAATCAGCCTCAAAACAAAAGTTCGCATTTATCTGGTTGCAGTACAATCCTGCTAAATGGCTATATGGCGATGACCAGTGATAATGGAAGATATCAGAAATCTATCTATCTTTTACCTTTGACCACTTTAAACTATACATATTCCCTAGACCCTAACTGAATAAAGTCTAACATAATAACATTCACCTTCGATCGAACTATCTGCATTAAAAATACTTTCACAAAGCTTTGGCACCGTTAGAACCAGTTTAGCCATTATTCATTGTCACCAGTCACAGGAATTTATGCACATTTCGCTTCATGCTCCTGGAAAGATACAAGAGATTTTGAACACATAGATAATCTAGCAATGCCAGCTTAGGAGAATGAAAAAGCAGTCGTTTCAGTTTCTTCAAGTGTTAGTATCTGCAGGTTTGAAAATATCTTCCTCTCGTCATTAGTGGAGCGAACCAAACCAACAATGGTGCTGGCTAGCAAAAGAATTTTTTCGATAATTTTTATGTTCTACTTTGCAACTTTGTGGCTGTTTGGTTCCCCTTAGCAGTTCGAATAGCTTCACATCTTCCGATATACTTTCCGCAGCTCCAAAAATATCCCAGCACACATTATGAGACCGTACAACTCCTGTTGAAATATTTGATGGCCACCGATTTACCTACGAGCAAAACAGCCGTAGATTTTCTTGTTTCGTCACTGCTAACTGTCGGCTACTCGTTCTGTTTTCTTGTCTGAATCGTGTGTAATTTGTGCGACGATCAACGGATGTGAGATATTTCGTTAGATCATCGTTTCCTATAGAAATCGGTGGAAAATAAGGTTAAAGGTAAAATTAGGAAGCAATCCTTGCTATTTTGAAGCGATTAAAAAGATTCATGATGAATTCAACGTTTTTATTGTTATTCTTAAAATACTGGAAAATCCGATTATGATTAATTGAAAATTACGTAATTTATCTGATGATTCCTTATTTGCAGTGGTAGAGAGTTTAGCTGATTAATTTTAGTTACTTTCAGATTGCGAAATGGTTGTTTATTCTCAAATAATTTTCATGTAAGTAGTTACGGATGAAAAAATGCCGATGCCTATGGGACCGGTACAGACTTTCATTTTGCTTAATAATTTTTTAAATAAAAACCTTTTGTTTAATAATAACCCAGTTTAGATGCTCAAGCGTGCAGCATTTTCTTCCCCTTGGAATTGTTCAGTTTCCCTGAGATCAATTCATAAGGCTAAATGTGATGATACTGTGAAATTTATGTTTTATCACATTGCACATTAAATATCTCTGGCTTCTTCCAACAGCGCCTACCGCCTCTGATTTTGATAACTATACTTGGAATTATACTGCGCTATATTTTCTATAGATTTCCGTAGAGAGTAACGTGCATAGAATTGCAGGTAGTTTCCCATCACCATCCGAAAAATCCGAAAAGTGATCATTTTAATTACGCTTATAATAAATCACATCAATGAATAAATAATGGACTATGGGATGCGTCTGCGGCTCATTGGCAAGATAATTGCCGCCTAGAATCGAGGCTTGGATTCGAATCCTGCCGACGTATCACTCTTCGTCAGGTGGCAATGTCGCCTAGCGGAGAAAAATAGGTAAATTGTTGCTCAATTCGGAGTGCAGATATTGAGGTTTTTCTCCCTGCAGCAGTGAATTTATTCGAAAATCCTGGTTGTACTAGCGACTTTCTCTCGCCTCTGGCTTATTTATCAAGTGATCGGAACGATTCTAACCAGTAATGAGCGCTCTTAAAAAAAAAATTTGTCTATGGATTGGGGTATGAATGGGATTTTGCAGTAGATATTCTTTTTTTTTTGTTTTAAATTATCGTTATTTAGATTTTGATGTATTTGGTTGGAACTGTAGTGTATTTTTGCATATGTTATTTTCGTTTATGGCTTTGCTTGAAGCATTTACCATTTAATTTACCATTGAACTATCTTGCCTGCCCATTATATTAAATATTCATTTGTATTCGAATTAATTATTTATATTTTTTAAGAATAATTGCATCCTTCGTAAGTTTCTTCCCTTATGCAATTCCTATATCGAAATTTATACTTTTAAAGTGTGTAAATAAAAAAAAAATGAAATCTGTAAATAAATGGAAAATATTAAGTATAAGAATTCCTGCAAATCTTTCTGATTTTATTATCTAGAAAAAGATTTGTTGGATTTATTATTTCGTCTCTCAGTTGAGAAACGTTTATAAAATGAAAACTGTCGAACTTACTTGGAAGAAATAAGGTTAATTCATGGAATTAATGAAGAAATTATGGAGGAAAAAATTGTGGTTCAAATCTAAATTTAAATTTGATATTTTTTGTGATTTTTCAGTTCTTCCAAGTTTTATTGCGATCTCTATCGAGACCCTTTTCTAATGTCATTACAAATTTGGCTACGAATCATCCAAAACTTCGATCGTTGATTTTTATTCCGGCTGGTCGAGGTAATTAATCAAATTAAAGTTGATTTTAAATTGTAAATATTGTCGACAAATGAGAAGTGGGCTTCTTACAATGAACAGTAACGAAAACGTTTTTAGCACTTATCCGCCTTACAATTAGGCTTCGAATGCAGAATCTTGGTTTCGGCAAGCCAGCTACAGTAGCAGATGTTACCGAAACTGCTGCAATTCAAGAAGTAATACATTAATACCCTGCGATAAGTCTCAGATATTTTAATATTGACAATTTTCTTTTTTGTATAGGATTCCGTATATTATTTTATGGTCAATTCGAAGGGTCATAATTTATTTATATCATTTATTTATATCGTTAAAGATATGATTTCTTTATAGGCTGCTGAAATAGCCAACTTTATTTTATTTGTTTCTCTTTCTCTCGCAGTTTTCTATATGTCTAAATGGGTCACTCCTGAAACTGCTAAGAAAAGTGATTTTGAAAAGGCTATTGCGGTAATAATTTTTCTAAAAAATTCATTTATTCAGTATGTAGTTGTTTATGAAGAATATCAGATAAAATAAGAGCAAGATAACTATGATTTTTTGAAAAAACCAAACAAATAAGGTGCCAAATGAAAAGAAATAGGTGACATTTATATAAAATACGTAAAAGGTATGACCAAAAGCGAATAATGTAAAACGAAATAATAAAGGGGGAATTACAAAATAACACAAATTGAAATGAATTGAAGTGATACTAACACTATTGATACTAATCGCATGGTGAAAAATCATGATTTCAACCCTCGTAAAGCTTTTGAATAATGTGAACAATTCAATAACAATAATACAATAACATAATATTTTCAAAAATAGCTAAAGATGATGTACAGACTGCGTTGTTCGCCAGATTATTCGAATAATTAATGGTGCGAATGTATAAATAAAGGTTTAGTAATATATAAGATCTATTACGTTCAAATTTAACCTAAAATTCTATTTGAGTTGAAATTTGAACAATAATTTGAACAATTTAAGTTGAAATAACCATATAGAATTATATAAATTATGCCTTAATCAAGCTGGATTCAGACCGGAACGCGATTGTGCTGACTACATGTTCACTCTAAGAAGGGTGTTAGAACATCGCAAATATCTCCATCATCACGTCAATTTTGCAGCCCTTCAATTCAGCTGATAGAGCTATGGAGGGTGATGGAACGCGATGGTCTTTAGAAAAGATCGGTCGACTCATAAAGGCATTTTATAAGTTTGCAACGGCACATTTGAGCCGATGTATATGGGGAACTGACAGATTCTTTCGAAATAAGAACTCGTTATTCGTTGTTATTCGTCAAGGTTGCGACCTTTTGCAATATTGTGAATTGAATAATGGATAACGCTTATCGGCACCTAATAGGTATACAAATTGGTCCAGAGCATAGTCTCGCAGAATTTGAATAAGCTGCTGATGTAGTCCTTTTTTGCTGACACTGTGCTGCCAGTTATGATGAAATTCAATACAATTTCAACAGCTACAGCATGATTCATTATCAACGTAAATAAAACGAAATTCTCGTTTTATATTAAAGAAGCTAATAAAATACCTATTTTTATCAATTCATTGCCAGTTGAAGAAGGGCCAGACTTTAAATATCTTGGATCCACTCTAATCCCAAAAGGCCAAGCAAAGGACGAAATTAGGGATAATAGTAGCTAGGAATGCGGTTGATGGAGCTTTTACGGAATTGTGACGAAATTACTGCAAAAATGCGTTCTCCTGAGTTTTTATGGATAATGAAAGTCCGTGTATGTATAGCTGCTATCGCTAAATCTTGCCATATGGCTGCTAGAGTAGTTATGTATCTTTGATAATTCATATCTAAAACGTTTTGAATTCGCAGATCGGATAAAACCTCTTATGATAAATATTTCATTATTTGTTATACTTTGACGGTTGGCGTAAAAAGCGAAGTGGACTAATCAAGACCTGTACTGATACAGCAAGAAAGATTTTGAAAAAAACGTATAGATGGGCCACCGATGTATGGACTTAAAGGTGGAAAAAGGAATGGCTTCTATTACTTTATCAGCTCCTGTGGTGAGCAACGAAGAACATACCCTAACCAGCGAAAGCGACGCTCTAGTACTGTTAATGCAATTGGCGTTTAAGCGAAGATGAATGCAATCATGTGAGTTTAGAGTTTAGAGATGTGAGTTTGAAGCTAGGGATATGGATAATTCATCGAAATTTTTTATATTTTTCTATATTTTTATTGGCATCAGACCGAACCGTTTGCTTCTTATCCTGTAGCCAGCGCAGTCAGTCTATCAATAATGGTGAGAGCTGCTAGAAGAAAAAATGATGTATAAATTAAATTTTCTTTATTTTTAAAAATTTCGTAAATTTTTTAAGCTCAATTCTTAGGACATGGATAGCCTGGCTTATATAATTAAACTTTTCTCTTATACTTAAAATTGCCACTAGGAAAGAGGCAAGTCCTTGAATTAATTTATTTGATTTGTGGTATCTGGGAGCACTGTATTATAAGGAGAGACTTTAATAACTTTATACTTTGATAAAAATTTTTCAGTTCTATTTTTAAGTGGCCGAAAAATAATATTTAATATTCTTAGCGAATTCTTTATTGTGGTTCTGCAATGTCGGTCGAAATCAAGATTTTCATCCACAGCTATGTTAAGATTTGATATACATCTGGTTACATCATTAATAAAAAAATTAAGAAGAATGTATTTATATGTAATAAGCTACAATAATTTTGGTAGAAAGAGAAATCTGCCTGTCCTACGACCAGTTCGAAATTCTATTGAGATTACTATATCTGAAAGAAAATTATTGATACGTACAACTTGGTAATGGCTTTTTAATTATCCAAGGTCCAGTTCTATTCCCCGCGGGAGTAGACCTGTCCAGAAATCCGGATGATACTGACGATTCACTTGTACTTTTACCGCCAAGGGATTCCCTGGCATATTTGCCCAGTCCGATAAGACAGTGGAGCGAGCTTAACCACTAATGGTGAGGACCCTTTAAAAAAAAAATCCAGAGATAACTATTTCAAAACAAATAAGAAATGCTTAAATAATGTAAGCGATGTTAAATAACAAAATATTGAATATTGGTACCCAATCACTCTAGTCCCTTAATGGCACCAAAACGAATGAAAAAGAACGATTTCTTTGGGAAGAATATACAACTACTACAACAAATTGACCTTTATCTTTTATTGACATATGTGAAGACTTCATTTGGTCATTTGGTGCATTGGGGGTGACCAGTTTGAAATAATAAATTTGAAATAGTAGAAAACATCGCATTTCGCGACGAATATAATGTTTTGCCTGATCTTAATAAGCTGTTCTAAACCAATGCATAAAGGTTTAGAAAATCATCTTCGAATTTGCTATTGTTTTTCATACAATTATTCCCAGTCTATGTTTGGATTCATAGCATATTAAAATCACCCAACAATTACATAATTACGACCAAACAAATGTAATTCTTCTTCTTCTAACCGGCAGCTCTCACCACTACTGGTTAGGCTAACTCCGCTGGCTGCAAGGGTAAGACGTCTCCAAGCTGCCGGTCTGTCTCCATTGCTAGTAATAGAAGCCATTCCTTTTTCCATCGTCTAAGTCCATATATCGCTGGTCCTTCTATACGTTCTTTCCTGGCTGTATTAGTCCAGATCTTGACTGCTTCCTCACTTATGACGCCAACCATTACACGGTTTAGCAAGAAATATGCGTCAACTTCTGTGATGGAGGAGAACGTGCTTTAACTAGTGAAGGCGCTCTGTGATAACATTATTAATACAGGTGGTATTTGAGCGAAGATGGATGCAAATATATACAATTTTACCTGTCCGACGGATCCGTAAAACGTATCTTAGACATGACTGGTCAAAGACTAATGGCTTATTAATATCTTGCACTCTAATTGGCCATGTTTCGCAGCCATATAGCAAGATCGAACGAATTGCAACTATATGGACGCCAATTTTCTTCTTTATAGTGATTTCACGACGGTTCCATAATGTTTTCATCAACTGGAAATATAAAATCCTAGCTGTCGTTACCTTGTTGGTTATTTTTTCCTGGCCATTTGGGATTAGTGGATCCAAGATATTTAAGTGACAGCACTTTCTCTGGCAATGAATTGATAAAAATAAGTATATTATCAGCATCTTGTATATGAGAGGAAAACTTTTTCGTTTTATTTATGTTGACCTTGATTCTTAGTGCATTTGATGAGACCTTGTTTAACATTACTTGCATTTCACTGTCAGCAAAAAGGACTACATCATTAGCGTATTCAAGATCTGTGATGCTATGCTCTGGACTGATTAGCACACTTCTTGAGTACAGATAAGCGATGCCCATTATCCAGTCTATCGCATAGTTGAACATGGTGGGGGAAAGGACGCAACCCCGATGCGCACCAGTTTTTATTTCGAAGGAACCGGTCAGTTCCTCATATACGCAGACCTGTGCCAGGGTATGCTGATAAAATGCCTTTATGAGCCGAATGATCTTTTTTGGGATACCATCACAATCCATCACTTTCCAGAGCGCTGCTTTATCAATCGAATCGAAAGTAGCTGCAAAATCAAGCGAGATGAAGTAAGTGACGTTGGGTGGCTGGTATTTGAGGCGATGTTCCAGCACCCTTCTTAGCGTTAATATCGGGTCAACCAACCACGTCCCGATCTGAATCCAGCTTGATTAGGACGCATTCTGCTATCTCGTGTTGCCATGAGCCTATTCAGCAGAAAGGATATTTTCCCGGAGATGTAAGATTCTTGTCCTGTAGGATTCTTAGGTAATTTGATTCCTAGGTAATGGTCGCAGTACGTCCTTTCACCTTTCTTAGGAATTGAAAGTGGAATTGCTTTGCTCCAGTCCACTGGTACTATTTCTTTTTACCAGAGAATACATTTGTTGAAGGGGTTACGAAAGATGATGGAAAACATGTGAAAAGTTCAGTCCGAAGACCATCATATCCGGGATTGGCCTTAAGCTTTTGGATTAGGTGGATGGATGGTTGGATATAACTGCTTGTTGGGGAAGGCAGATTAGTTTCCTATTATCGCCTAATCGAGCAACTGTCTCCATTCTTAAGGCCATATCGCTCCAATGGCGAATTCTGTCCCGCCACGCTGCTTTCGTTGTAAATCGTCGAAGCACCCGATAATCAGGATAGGGTATTAAATAGGGTCTCCTGATATTAGGGCTTTGGCAGCTTTTCCAGACAGTCAGGTAGTTGCTTCCGACACCCAACTAGCGCACTTCCTACTAGTATACCCTGGTGTGGTAGTGGCTGATCTTTGTAGGCATGTCTTTAGGACCAATATTCATTCGCCTTTCCAGAGATGTCACTGACGTTCATTTCACTGATGAGTTCCAATAATACGGTTTGAAATGCGCTGATTGTTCTCGGATCTTTTAATTTGAGATAGTTTTTTTATTTATTTATTGATAACCAGCCAAGCAGGGCGACAACGCCATGTGCTTGTATTAATAATAACAGTTAAGATAACAGAAAAAGAAAACACAAA